TGTAAATAGATAATTATTCAAATGTGATTTGTATCTCGTGTTACTCAGGTTCATTTTGGAAAAGCATGTTAGTTTTAAAATTAGTTTGGTGGATTATTTAGTCATTGATTGTAGGTTCAGTGCACTGATAAAAATGTGTAATGTAATCCGTCCGAAGTGATATGCAAAATGCAACTTCACAAATCTAAAAGTTCATTATCGGAAACTAAGTGTGGGAGAGCCATGCTTCGGCACGAATGGGCCGGCTCGACCGGAGTGATACCAAGACTTCACAGAAAACCGACGTGAAGCAACGCTTGCGTTGTGTTTCGTCGTGTGAGTGAGGTTACCGGAAGCCCAATTACCCTCCCCTTCTCCAATCTCCCCAATTCCTGAATCCCCAACGATCCTCAAACTCCTAATCCCCAAAAGGCCGGTAACGCACTTGTAACGCCTCTAGTGTTCTAGGTGTCCATGGGCGACGCCGATTGCTTACCATCAAGTGATCCGACTACTCGTTTACCGGCTTATGCCATAAAAAAAATCTTTACATCTACACATTAATATTTTCTACTATGTCGTAGGTGCGTTTACAAATATACAAGTTCACATACACATGACACACAGACGCGAAACAACAATTTATGCATCACACAAAGCTCCGTGCGGGAATCGAACCCGCTACACGTTGCATGGCAGCCGGTTGCCCAGCCACCGCGCCAACTGTTCAGTCAGTCAAGTAATCAAGTATTTGTTGCATCCATAATGTACAGATACAGGTGGTTAGAAAATACAATAGTAACAATTACGGATCCTGTCGGGTTATCACACACGGATCATTATCATATCAGCCACAAGATGTCTACTGCTGAACATAGGTTTCCCCCAAAGACTTACTAGTCTAAATAAACAGTATCTTTTTTAAATCTTTGCCCCACACTAGGATTTTCTCCTGTGTCGTGGGTGCGTTAACAAATACAAGTTCACATACACGTGCCACTGGAGTTCCGTGCTCGTTCTTCTCCATAAGAACTACAACTTTTTTTTTAAGGGGGGAAAATCATCGAATGACTGCTGCCGCCTGGGTGAGGCGGAAGGGAGTGTCAGACTCTTACTGACTAAAAACCACCCCGTTCCTTCTCCTGCACGTCGAGCCGGAGCCCCGGTTACCCGTTAGGTTCTCCGCGACAAGAACTACACCTTGAACGAGCAAATAGCTTCACTTTTAATTTTTTCTTCGTTGACATTTAAAAGTGCCTTTCTGGTTTGAAATAAATGATTTTGACTTTGACTTTCACATCGAGACCCGGAACAACAATTTGTGGATTACACAAACAGTATGCTCCGTGCGGGAAACCAACCCGCGACACATTGCACGGCAGCCAATCGTGCAGTCTAGAGTATTTTACTGTAGCATAGTTAGTTAAATTATCTTTACACGAGTTGTCTAATATTACCATTGACTTCCTTATAGTCCTCACGCTTGGACGCGTTTTGAGGTGTTGTGGTATGTGAAAAATATGAATAAAAGCTAAAATCATAGAGTATGAAACGATATTTTTTATTGTAATCTATACATATAATAAAATCGTAGAAAACTCAAAAGTGTACAGTGAATGTTTTTTTAAAAGAATACTTGGGGCGTGATCTGCAATCGATACCGAAGCCAAAAATATGGTTTTTAGATTTTTTGTCTGTTTGTCTGTATGTATGTTCGGGATGATCTCCAAAATATATTACAAGAAGAATATTACAAACAGGTCGGGTCAGCACATAGGCTACATATTATCATCTATGGGGGAGGAGCTGTGAATCATAATTCCACGCGAACGAAGTCGCGGGCAACAGCTTGTTTATTAATACATTGGTTTCATAACATCAAGCCTTTTTATCCCCGTGGCACTTAATGCCACAGGGAATAAAAAGTAATGCAATGTAACATTTACTTTTCACTATTTGTGTTATAAGTCCCTTGTAATACGGGTGAGCCTATTTCCATATACCGGGCACAATTCCAGACTCCGTGCTACTACTGTGAATATCTTTAAAAATCCAAGTAATACTTTGCGCTACCCGGGAATCGAACCCAAAACCCCTTGCCCGGCAGTCGCATTTGCGATCAATCGGCCAACGAAACAATTTAAATAAACACTTATGCTAAATAAGTGATTACACATTTAGCATACTCCAGTAACCACATCGCATAATCACTTCTTGAACGATAGAATATTAAACTTAAAATAATAAGGTTTATTCTGTATTTTTTGCAATTTACATAATTATGCAAATGCGCATAGTGCGTTCAGATTTAACACGTGGTCGGTGAGTTATGCTTCGATACGAATGGGTCGCCTCGTCGCCTCAATAGGAGTAGTATGCTTCGCAGAAATCCGGTGTGTAGCAACGCTTGCGTTGTGTTTAACCTTGTTATTGTTATAACCAGATGCCCAAATTAAATCCTAATCTTTAAATTTGGCTGACTTTGATTGCACGGTTGGTGGGGTGGCTGGGCAACTGGTTGCCGTGCAAAGCAGAGCATGTGAAACCGCGCGGAATTAGTACAATAATAAATGTACATAGTTAAATTATTATTTTATATATTTCCGTGATCTGAAAGTGACCGCTAAATTGGTTAATTAATAAATAAATAGGCAAATATTAACTTTATGTAGATTAACTTAGGAATGTAAATATCTGGGATTTGGCTCAAGTTTACACGAATGCAGATAAAACTACATTACGTATTTACCTTTAATAAAAATGAAACAGTTTAGATTAATGTAGGGTTGTCGAAACTTAAAAAAATAATATTTTAATTTTAATTAAGAGGACCCGGCAAACGTCGTAACACCTTTAATTTTTTCCTTTTAAACCTACCCAGGGCTTCCACAAGTCATTCAAGACCAAAATTACCCAAATGCCCACATCGGTTCAGCTGATCTCGAGTTTAAGCGAGACTAACGAATGGAAATTCATTTTTATCTTATACTTACTTACTATTATATAAAGCTGAAGAGTTTGTTTTTTGTTTGTTTGTTTGAACGCGCTAATCTCCGTAACTACAAGTCTGATTTGCATAATTCTTTTTGTGTTGGATAGCGCATTTATCGAGGATGGCTATAGGCAATAAAACATCACGCTACGACTAATAGGAGCTGAGCAAAGCGTGTGAAGCCGCGCGGAAGTATTTACTAGTTTTAACTTATGGTTTTGGTTATATTATTAGAATTTGACTGCACTGCACTACTGTGGGTGAACTACCGGCTGCTGTACTGCTGTATGTATTTATGACAAAGGAAGAAATTCTTGTGTATGGGCATAGTTTTATAAAAATGTGTGTCCTAATTCTTTGCACCAATAAGAAGATAAGTGAGCTGGGGGTTTTTCACGAAGTTTTTTGCCTTGTACAGCAAACTGTGGAATGAATGTGGTATTTTAGAGTTGGTGTTGCCGGAATCCACTGGTAACACTTACAACCAGAAGAACCGTCTGTGAGTGTGTGTGAGAGACTTTATTATATAGATATACTGTAGTGACTTCATGATAGTGACTTAATTACATGTACATAGATTTCTATGTACATGTAATGAATTCCTTTTTCCCTTGATCACGGCATCACGCGTGAATGGCTGGACCGATTTCACTAATTGACTGCCTCGTTGGCCGAGTGGTCGCAAGTGCAACTGCCAGGCAAAGGGTCTCGGGTTCGATTCCCGGGTCGGGCAAAGTGTAACTGAGTTTTAAAAAAAATCTCAGTAGTAGCACGGAGTCTGGAATTGTGCCCGGTATATGGCAATAGGCTCACCCCCTATTAAGTGGGACTCATAACGTAAACAGTGAAAAGTGGGTGTTACTTCTGTGTGCGCCTCTGCCTACCCCTTCGGGGATAATAGGCGTGATGTTATGTTTATGTTATTAATTTTTTTTATATATTTGTTGGGTCAACGTTTGGCCACTACCTCGCGTGACGGTAAGCGATGTACTACTGTAACTGTATTTACTATAACTGACTAATTGCAATACAACCAAGCTATTCACATATTTCTCATCCTTTATTGTTCTGAAACAAAAATATATTGGCTCTGAAACATGCCCTTCACACCACACATTTCACAGATTACATTAAAAAAAATGTAATAACAAAATAAAAAGAAAAAAGACACTTTATCCCCCATTCGACATCCTTACGGTTATAATTATTTCTTTGTTCGTTCATTTTCTAGCCGTTTGGGCGCGTACTCTGCCAAGTAAAGGCGGGGCATAGGCACGCGTGTTGCGTCATCGGACACCTTATCGGCGCGCCGCTCGTATAAACAAAGATTTATGACCTCCTGTTGCGTTCCGACGGCTCAAGTGATGTTATTCTTTAAGTTTATGAATGGGACTATCGTGTGGTATTACAGTTGTTGACATTAGTTGTCTCAATATTTTATTAGGTAAGTGTAAACATCAGCAATAGCTAAAAATGACAAAGTTTCAAATATAAATGGTATTATTTTGAAATCTCTATCAATAACCTATTAGTTTATGATTTTAAATAGTAGGTAGGTTAATTCTACGTAAAAATAAATATAGAAACATTGCCTTTTAACAATTTTTCGCTCGCGAGCACTCGTCGTCCGACCATTGACCGTTCGCAACAGATAGCACAAACTTTGACAATATTTTTTTTAATTTTTGCGTTCTATACTGTAGTGTTGTTGCATTTTGAGCATAGAAAAATATCCATAGATTCGAATAGAAAAAGAAGAAATATAAAAAACCTATTGGGTAGAAAGAAATAAAATATAAATGTGCACGTCGGAACGTGACGTAAAAAAAAGGCACGGTAGGCCCTTTGCGCATTCTACGGGTGTTAAAAAAAGGTACTCAACTCTCTTTGCGCCATCGAGCGGCTAGTTTATTAATGTGTTTGACTTTAAAATACATTTTGAGATCAGTCGAGAATCGAATGTCATGTGGAACGAGTTTTAATAGTCGAAAATACGAATAGTATTGTGAATAATTTTTGTTTTTTAAAAATGTATACATTCGGTAGTCCGATTTTGAGACAGTATTTGGTTATAATTACTGGTGAGTATTTATGCTTAATCATTTTTATTTCATAAAGAGAAAGTTGTTTAGTGATTTATGAATAACCCGTTTGGGATTAAGGAGGAAAGATATACTTACATAGATAACTTCACGCCTGTTTCATGGGGGTTTTTTTAAGGGGGGAAAATCATCGAATGTCTGCTCCCTCCTGGGTGAGGCGGGAGGGAGTGTCCGACTCTTACTGACTAAAAACCAGCCCGATCCTTCTCCTGCACGTCAAGCCGGAGCCCCGGTTACCCGGTAGGTTAGCCTCTTTCGCTTAATCAAATGACTCTTTATGATTACTCGTCGTTTAATGGTATTTATTTTGATTTGGCTCTTTTTTAATATATCGGCTATCTGGTCGATACCTTATATATCCAATCCAATAATGAAAGAATTTTTTTATGGGATAAGCCCGTAAACGAGCTGCCGGAACGGACTACGCAAGCGTATATAATCAACGCAAGCGTAGATAATCGACGTGAAACATCACGTCGATTATCTGTGAGGCCGTGGTATCGCTCCGGTTGAGCCGGCCCATTCGTGCCGAAGCATGGGCTCTGGCACACGTGATTGATATATGACTAAATATTAACTGTATCATTAGTCAAAAGGTGTTAGGTTGTATTCCCGGGACTAGTCATAAATCTATCTTCCTTTACTATTTGTCTAAGAAGGAAACATCTTAAAAATTACTTAATGTGGATTATCTTAATTGCTTCTATCGTTAAAATATACCTATCGCAACAATCTAACCGGCAACACACTAGCTTCTCTGGTCTCATGAGCAGTATCGATTGCTTACCATCAGGTGATCCATCAGTTCGTTTCCAGCCCTTAGCCGTAAAAAAACGATTGACTTGAGTTCTAGAGTTTCATAGTGTTCTATGATAATCCTGAAGTGACTCTTATTTGAGTAGTGAAGACTGTCATGGGCTGTTGGTGTTTGTTGTATCTGATAGTGATGTCAAGATTTCAATTTTATTAAATACTAGCTGTGCCCGCGACTTCGTTCGCGTGGAATAGTGACTATGAGCATCGTTTTTTTTTAAATATATACTCACGACGTGATTCTTTAATTTGACATAACTTTTTTATTTATGAACCGATTGACATGAAACAAACACTAAAGAATAACTGAAGCATACCACAATATATTCGTGAAAACCGCATCCAATCATCGGATCAGCCGTTTCTGAGATTAGCGTGAACAGACAAACAGACAAAAAAAAGTTAATTACATTTTTGGGTTCGACATCGACATAACAATAACCCCTGCTATTTTTTTTATTTTTATTTTCAATGTACAGACAGCACTTTTCTACAATTTTATTATATGTATATAGATATAGATTGCACTAGCTTCTGCCAGCGGCAATGCCCCCGATCTCAGGGGTAAATGGGAAAATGCCTATGTATTACTTCAGATTCAGAGCATACTCTACCTCTGTTGAGAATTTCATCCCGGTCCCTTCAGTCGTTTTGACGTAATTCAGTCATAAACATACAAACAACAAAATCACAAACATTCGAATTTAACATATTATTGAGATGTATGTCGAACTCGTCTAGTGTTTTTTTTATGGCATAAGCCGGTAAACGAGCAGACGGATCACCTGATGGTAAGCAATCGGCGTCGCCCATGGACACCTGGAACACCAGAGGCGTTACAAGTGCGTTACCGGCTTTTAGGGGATTAGGAGTTTAAGGATCGTTGGGGATTCTGGGATTGGGGAGATTGGGGAAGGGGAGGGTAATTGGGCCTCCGGTAACCTCACTCACACGACGAAACACAACGAAAGGGTTGCTTCACGTCGGTTTTCTGTGAGGCCGTGGTGTCACTCCGGTCGAGCCGGCCCATTCGTGCCGAAGCATGGCTCTCCCATAATTACATTTGTATCGCAATTATGGGTTCGCTATCAACGACTTAAATAGGTATAACTAGAGACAGAGAGTAAATATAACTGCATACTTCTTTTGATACAAATAAATGTTATGTTATATTTTTTTAATTCTGTCTTTGAATTAACAGACAGAATATTATCATCAATATAACCTTAAGGCCACTGGCATTGACTTCAATTATAATGACTAATTCATTCTATTTGATAACACATATTCTATGGAAAATGTATTGTTTATATTCTTATCTATCACTTAACTAATGTATTGTTGTTACTTTAAAATTAATACTTATCTTTCTAGGTGACGTTTTGTATAATTAACTATTTTAATTTACTTGAAGATGCATGGTTGAATTGTAAATGATATAATTTCAGTGGATGATGAAGAAACGTCTGGAATAGGGTAGTTTCGTAAATTTTATTTTAATACCAACGTATATAACGTACCGAAAATTTGTTCATACAAAAGTATTGGTAGTAGTAGTAGAAATAAGGTCTAAAATCGGACTAATTAGATTTTAAATCTTCATACCCTGTCGACTATCCTATTGTGCCTGTTGTAATTGTATACTTAATAGGTCAGCCTTTGTCGACTAAATCTCATCTTTGAACAAGAAAATAGCATTCATCCTTAGGACCTGTTTTACAATGTCTGGATGGTCAGTATCTATGAATATAGAACGTAATTTTTGTGAACAACTTCCTTATATGAGTACCCGCCCTGGTTCTATCTGTTCTATCTGATTCGGGTACTTATATATTATGAGGGTAGAGCATTCCTAAAACTCACAATCATCACATCACACCAGAGTCGTCGCAAACTCGTGATCTTCTCTGATGTTGGACTCCTTGCGCAATGTTGCGATCAGGTGATCCATCTGTTCGTTTGCCCGTATCCTATCTCAATGATCGGGTGTATATGGGCGGTGCTAATTGCTTCATCTTCATCATCAACAGCCTATAAATGGCCATTGCTGGCCAAAGGCCACTTCTCACACGAAGAAGGTTTGAGCAATAATCTCCATCTCTCTCTCGCTTGCTCAATTCGGGTCCGTGATTTTAAACTTATTAATTATAATTAGAAATTATAAGCCCAGGTTTCCTTTACGATGTTTACCTTCACCGTTTGTCAGTGGTGTCTAGGTATCTTAGAAATTACATATAACTCGGAAAAAGTCACATTTATACCTGTCGTTGGTAGGTTTTGAAACCGCACTATCATGCATAAGAAGCGGGCCTCCGGGCTACGATGACCTGGTAGGCTAATTGCTTTACGGAGCCGCGAATAATGTAAAAGGTTACCGGGCCTCCGGCTCGAAGAGCAGAAGTAGGAACGGGGTGGATTTTAGTCAGTAAGAGTCTGACACTCCCTCCCGCCTCACCCAGGCGGGAGAAGTCATTGAATGATTTTCCCCCCTTAAAGAAAAAAGGCTAATTGCTTACCAGGTTTGTACATCGGGTTATTTATCGCCCTATCACATTAAAAATATCGGAATCCTTAGAGACTTCAGGTCAAAGTTCTTAACTACCAGGCCATTGGCAGATACGACTGTATGCATAATGATCCGAGTTAACGTACGGCGTGTCAGAGATCTTATGAGCTAAATCAAGATATTTGCTATCTTAATCGTACTCAGCTTTCATAAGATTATCAAATTATATTTAATCAGGTGCCATGTAAAGTAGGTTTTATTATTGCATACATTATAATGTGCAATTGTGCATCTAAATGAGGAAAATTCTTTTAAAAAACATCATGGGTTTAGAAAACATACTGATTTTATTGTTTAAAAATAATAAGCCGTGTTTTTTAAATGACAATTATGGAAACTCGATTACGATTCGATGTTAACATATTCCTTCAACTTCCTTCAACAGTTTTCTAATGACAGTCAAATGCTTAAGTATAGTAACGTTAAAATCTAATACAACCCTATTACACCATCATTATCTGAAGCCTTTTTCAACCAATTTTGTGTAAGCCTTCTTCAAATCTTTCCAATTTTGTCCCGTTACCTCTTTGATGTCATCTTTCCATCTCATCAGGTCGTCTGTGTTCCCACGGTCTTCACTCCAGCAGATCCTGGCACCTTGAGTTGTGTTTGCGAGGTACACGTCCCGTCCATTGCCACTTAAGCTTGGCTGTTCGTTTGACTATATCCCCTATTACAAATAAAGACTTTTCAAATTTGTTCTGTCGACAAATCTTATACATTAATGTATAACATAACATAACATCACGCCTTTTATCCCCGAAGGGGTAGGCAGAGGTGCACATTATGCCACTGTACAATGTAACACCCCCTTTTCACTATTTTATGTTATGAGTCCCATGTAGTAGGGGGTGAGCCTATTGCCATATACCGGGCACAATTCCAGACTCCGTGCTACTACTGAGATTTTTTTTTAAAACCCAGTAATACTTTGCTCGACCCGGGAATCGAACCCAAGACCCCTTGCCCGGCAGTCGCACTTACAACCACTCGGCCAACGAGGCAGTCTTTATTTTATTTAGAAGTCTTTATTTTATTCTTTATTTAGAAGCATTGATGTACTTATAATATAAAGCTGATGACATGGTTTGTTTGTTTATTTGGACGCGATAGTCTTCGGAACTGCTGGTTCTTAATTTTTAAAAGCTACTCGGGCGGAATTTAATCCGTTCAGCTCATCGCCTATCGATCGCAGTGTGAGGTTTAATAACATGTAGCCTTCTTCGATAAATGCACTATCCGACACAAAAATAATTATTCAAATTGGATCAGTAGTTTCCAGAGTATTAAACCAACTCTTTAGCATTATGTATTTTAAAATAATTATAGATAGAAAAAAAATGTGTAGATATACATATTATAAAGCATTTTCATCATTTACCTATTATTATGCAATGCACACATGACGAAAGATTTACACTATAGTATCAAAAAGCCAAGGAAATGGTAATTTAACTTTATCACCCTTTTTTCAATCCCGTTTAACTCAAACATACGACATGTGATATGACACACGACTCATATTAATTACATTCATACCAACACGTGCAAAATCTGGTGCGAAAATAAACTTTATTAAGCCGGTAATAAAGAAAGATACTCAAGTCAAAATCTCTACCTAAGTATATGTAGAAAGAGATGCACATTGCCTATACCTATTGCATTGCATATATTTGCATCCCTTTTTAACTGTCCTTTTCAACCGACTTCAAAAAAAGGAGGAGGTTCTCAATTCGACCCGTATTTTTTTTTTTTTCTATATTTGTTACGCGATTACTCCGCCAATTATGAACCGATTTGAAAAATTCTTTTTTCGGCGTATAGGTAATACCTCAAGGTTGGTCCCATTTAAATTTACTAATAAAAATAACAACCCCCAAGGGTGGAAAATTGGGGGATGATTTTTTTATACGCAATATCTCCGCCGATTATGAACCAATTTGAACTATTATTTTTTTGTTGAATAGGTATTATCAAAAGGATGGTTTCATGCGAATTTGAAGAAAATATTTCAACCCCCAAGGGTGGAAAATTGGGGATGAAATTTTTTATACGCAATATCTCCGCCAATTATGAACCAATTTGAACGATTATTTTTTTGTTGAATAGGTATTATCAAAAGGGTGGTTTCATGCGAATTTGAAGAAATCGGGGCTTTCATTGATTCTGGTTAACTTTTCGTATGCTCTCATTTTCGAAAGTCTAGAAGTCCGCTGCTCATCACTCTCCTTTAATATATTTTTAGCATTTCTTTCTCTACTTTCTTTTAAACGCACTTCCCTTTCTTCTTTTGTTTCCTCCAAACGGCGCTGTCTCATTAAGGCTGCGCGTTTAGTAGGCCTACCCATATTAAATGCACTAAGGGTATCTACAAAAAAGTAACACTAAAAATTTTAAAATAAAATAATTAACTTTTAAAAAAAAATAAAACCGACTTCAAATGCGAGAACACAAAAAAAACTAAAAATTAAAAAATAATTCCTAATACCTATTACCTAATACTATAATTTTTCTAAACTATATCAAAGTAATTAAAGTTAAACCATCTAAATATCTTAAAATAGTTATACTTATATACCTACCTATTGTTTTTTGGAGTCGGTGCCAGTAATAAATGAATATTAAACCTAATGAAATAAGAAAAAGTACTCAATGAAACAAAAATATTAAGAAATAATTTGTATGTAGCCTGGTACAACTAAACCTATACCAACAAAGAATAACAAATACCTACAAATCCTACAATAGAATACAACAAACAAAAAAGAAAGCAATAATTTGAAATATTGCGCATCCGAAAATTCAGTATTTTTGACACGAGCGTCAACGTAGTCTGCCCTCAAGCGTCTGCCCGCCTTCGGGTCGCTTACTCGAGCAAGACCGCACGCGCCCGCGTCCCCCGCCGCACCGCGCGGCCTCGCCTCGCGCCATGCGTCCCCCGCCACCGCGTCGCACGTCTCTAGTTCGCGGGTAAACTTTAATACGCTGGCACTGGCACCGACTCCAAAAAACAATAGGTAGGTATATAAGTATAACTATTTTAAGATATTTAGATGGTTTAACTTTAATTACTTTGATATAGTTTAGAAAAATAGGTATTAGGAATTATTTTTTAATTTTTAGTTTTTTTTTGTGTTCTCGCATTTGTTTATAAAAATATCGTCCAATTACTTCCTTGCCTTGGGTGATCGGAGAGGGAATGTCTGACTCTTACTAACTAAACACCATCCCGTTCCTTCTGCTTCGAACCGGAGGTGGGTTGCCACCGCTAGAACCCACTCAGTCATCCGCAGCTCCGCCGCCGCGCGCCGTGCCCTCAGGGACGTGATCGCCGATGGCGACCTCGCGTCCGGCACAAGTGCGGGTCATGATGCGGAGCGAGGGGGACTGGGATGCCGTCCCCTCCTTTTGCGAAGCAGTCATGCTAGCTAAGAAGGAGGCGGGGAGCATGAGGCAGCGAAGCGCTGCCTCCTCACAACCCAACCGTCTTGAAGGACACTCTGTGCGTCGGGCCTGCGGACGGCCAGCATGGGTGGCTCGCCGCCCGTCCAAAACCAGACCCGAGCGTACGGCGCGTCGTGTTCCGCGCGCGCCTCAAAGAGCCATTAGACCACCACGGATTGGGCCCATTAGGGCTGATGCCGATACGGAGCCGCAGAGAACCTAACGTGTTACCCGTTACTCCGGCTCGCAGTGCAGGAGAAGGAACGGGGTGGTTTTTAGTCAGTAAGAGTCTGACACTCCCTCCCGCCTCACCTAGGCGGGAGAAGTAATTCGATGATTTTCCCCCCTTAAAAAAAAGTTCCGGTTTTTTTACCGTACCGAAGAGGTCTCTTCTTGAGTACCTATCATCGTTCTTTAATACCGGTGCTAGTGTAGCAACATGCAATAATAATAATGAGTTAAGCTGATGCATATAAGACAACAGCGTACGCTGTATTACGATTACCATGACAATAAAACAAAGAAAACAATAGCAACAACGAAAAACTGTGACAAATATTATGTTTTATGACGTTTAAGACATTTCTTATTCTAATTACTTATCTTTACAGATAAATAAAATTGGAGTGTCCGTTCTGAAATAACCGCTTTTTACTACATGCATATGAATGTAATGTACACACGATACATGTACCAAAATAACACCTTTAACAATTGTTGTCTGTGTATCTGTTTGTACTGGTTATTCTCAGAAGTGGCTCGACCGATTTTGACGGGAATTTTTTTGGCAGGTAGCTTATATACTTAGGAGTAACCTAGGCTAGTTTTATTTTAGAAAATACGCAGACGAAGTTGCCGGTTTAGCTAGTTTATTTTAAAACTTTCGTGAGACATACTAACTTAATTATTATGCTTTTTGGGTAACTCACGTAATTATTTGACGAGGAACTCGACTAGTTTCGAGCCATGCTAGAGCCTCATATTCTCATATTCGTGTGTAGTATTCCGCGACACACTGTCTATGTGTCAGTCGCTCTGATACTGTAACAGCACGACAGCCTATACCAATATTCATAATAATAGTTACATCTACCAAATATTTTCTATATAGTTTTGTTCAGGACTTGGGGCACCGACTTCATAACATTCATTAGGTGTTGCAGATAGGACTTTTTTTTAAGGGGGAAAATCATCGAATGACTACTCTCGCCTGGGTGAGGCGGGAGGGAGTGTCAGCAGACTCTTACTGACTAAAAACCACCCCGTTCCTTCTCCTGCACGTCGAGTTGAGTACATTGAATAATAATTATTTTTTGGTTTTTAGGTTGTGGTGTTTGAAGTCGGTTTTTTTAAACGTATTTTTTTCTTATATTAGCAACAACATGTAGTTATCTAGGTAATTATGTTCTCATTATGTTAGGTTCTAGATATTTCCGAATTTACGACAAAGGGGGAAAAACATTGTACATATCTATTCTATCCATTAATATGCATGTTTCTGAAGATACTATCTGCTTAAGTGCAAAATCTTGTAGAATATGTGTCGTTCATCATTACTACGTATTATTAGTATACCTAGGTAATGTAATGTAGGCTTGTTACCTACATTTAAACTAGACCAATTCCTATCTAAATATATGAAAATTAAATAAATGGGTATTTTAGCACGTAGAACAAGTTTTAGATAAATTCTAGATAAAATAATTGTTTAACGCTATCATAGCTTAGAGCCGTAGTTATGATTCTTAAGGCAAGTAAAATTTCTACTCAAGGTCCATTCAAGCTCATACTTTTTTGTGAAGGAAAGAATCATCGAATGACTTCTCCAGCCTTATTGGGTTAGGCGAGAGGGAGTGTCAGGCTTTTACTGCCTAAAAACCACCCTGTTCCTATTTCTGTACTTCAAACCGGAGCCCCGGCAACCCGTGAAATCCTCCGCGGTCCGTGTCGGCATCAGCCCTAATGGGTTTGATAGATCTTTGAAGCGCGGGCGGAACGCAATGCGCCGTACGCTCGGGTCTGTTTCTGGTCGGGCGGTGAGACCCGTGCTCGCCGTTCGCAGGCTCGTGCTTACGGAGCAGGTGGTGGTGGAAAATTCTAACTCACGGTAGTCATTCATGATTGTCAATAGGAATACATCCATAGGGGTTTATCATAATCACCATAAATTGATATGGATATGTTTTGGAATATTTTATATATAGTAAATGTTTTAATATTGTAGTATCTTTAGTATTGAACTATTGTCCTGAATAGTCAAAATATTATAATGTCGACCAACCTTGAATCAATAGCATTAATGACAGTACTAACTAATCTAACTAGGTAAATGTCATGCTAACTGGTTTAGTTTCTGATAAGAAAACACCGAACTTATTAGTAATAGCATATAAACATAACGTCATCTTTTGTTCTTCAAAATATGGTATAATGCTCTTATAAATTAATAACACCACGCCTTTTATCCCCGAAGGGGTAGGCTGAAGTGCTTACTACGACACTCAATGCCACTAAACAATGTAACACCCAATTTTTACTATTTATGTAGGGGGTGAGCCTATTGCTATATACCGAGCACAATTCTAGACTCCGTGAGAAATTTGTAAAACTCAGTAATACTTTGCCCGACCCGGGAATCGAACCCGAAAGCCCTTGCCCGGTCGCACTTGCGTCCACTCAGCCAACGAGACAGTCAAATAAAAAAACTATTACCATATAATGTAGTATTTATTATTCATATTCATTTCTTTATTTGCATTCCATAATGTTTCTTAAGATGTTACATTGGCTTAAAGCTAGGACACAATTATGGACCCTGTCGGGAACAGCAAATACAAAGTTTAAATTTCATAATTCAAGTAAGTAGGGTGGACCCAAACAAGCGACAATTTTTTTTTTACTTAACCTAACTATTTTTCTTTCCAGCCAACCTAGCGTTCGTATCCATAGGCCTGAGTGTATCATGGTCTTCTCCAGTCCTGGTGAAATTGATGAATAAGACGGAGCCTGTGCTGTCGAGACCTATCACTTATGAGGAAGGGTCATGGATTGCGTCTATAGGATCTGGTTGCGGGTTGATATGTAAGTGTCTACTATGTTTGGTACTTTTTCTTTCTATTATGAGATAAGACGAGCTGACGGATCACCTAATGGTAAGCAATAATCGGCGTTCCCCATGGACACGATTTAACTAACTAAATATCGCGGAGTACTCACGTGAAAATACTGAGAGAAATTCTACTAGTTTAGCTGCGCATCATCGCCGCGACCGCGCGTTCTGCTCATGAGGAAGAACCCCTCTGTTGTTCGAAGCTAGTAGAGCTTTTCTCAGTATTTTCACGTGAATAACCCACGATTTTTAGTTAATTTAGTACGTCTCAAATTTGTATTGTAACTTTTGTGAGACATACATACATAACATCACGCCTTTTATCCTCGAAGGGGTAGGCAGAGGTGCACATTATACCACTGTACAATGTAACACCCACTTTTCACTATTTATGTTATGAGTCCCATGTAATAGGGGGTGAGCCTATTGCCATATACCGGGCACAGTTCCAGACTCCGTGCTACTACTGAGAATTTTTTAAAAACCCAGTAATACTTTGCCCGACCCGGGAATCGAACCCGAGACCCCTTACCCGGCAGTCGCAATTGCGACCACTCGGCCAACGAGGCAGTCAGCAATTCATAAATAGCAGCGCATAGCGAGCAGACATAAATTATTATATTTTCGGCTTACTCACGTAATAATTTGACGAGGAACTCGACTAGTATCAAGCCATGCTAGAGGCTCATATTCATGAGCAGCATTTCGCGACCCGCGACGCGTCGTCAAATTATTACGTGAGGAAACCGAAAACATAATAATTTATGTCTCAAATTATTTAATTTATTTCAGTAAACTTCACAATAGGATTCCTACTGGACAAGTTAGGCCGTAAAACCTGCATGATCCTTGGATTTGTTCCCCGGCTGGTGATGTGCTTTATGCTCCTGTTCACTAAAGAAGTATGGGTCGTATACCTGGCGAGAGTATTCGATGGATTCGCTAATGCATCTATTCTAGCTGCGGTACCTACTTACTCTTCAGAGATAGCTAGCGTGAGTATATTAATAATGTATTTAAAACTAAAGACAAATTGAATCTGAAATCTATCTGACTGGAGATTTGTATTTTCTGAGGAGATTTGCAATGGTAGTGTATCCTTGTTTCAAAAGAGCCTCGTGTTCAGTGAGTAGCCACTGCTCACCAAAGGCCTCTTCACACACGAAGAAGGTTTGAACATTAATCACCATGCTTGCTCAATGCGGATTGGCGATTTCAAACTCATAATTAGCATTTATAAATCCTGGTTTCCTCACAATGTTTTCCTTCACCGTTTGTCAGTGATGTCGAAATAATCTTAGAAAGTACATAATATAATTCGGATTAAGTCATATTGGTGGTACTTGCTATTGGTAGGTTCCGAACCCACACCCTCATGCATGAGAAGTACCTAGGTGTTAAAACATCTTCGAGCCGCCACAACATCAAGAGTAGGTATCTCTTATTCCTATTAAAAGATTAAAAGCAAAAATAAGTGATAAAAGACAATATTATGATTTTAGAAGGCGCTTCAATTAGTGGTTATTTTTCATGAAATTGTGAAGTAATCTGTACACTTGGTTTAACGTTGAGAGTTTATTGAACCTTATGTAGGTATCAGACAATTTTTTCATAAATTGAGATAATGACAGGGTATGAAAATTAAAAATTCAATGAGTCCGTAAGTTAATGAAAAAATATTAGACCCATTTTTTTTTATTTTGTCGTATAATAAAACAATACTTAGATAAAACGAATCAAAGTTTAGTAGTGGGGCTAAAACGCCATTTCTACGTATAAAATGTAAGTACATAAAAGTGACGTCACGCGACATTTCAAATCAATATATCGTCGAAATTATGCGTTTCTAGAAAAAAATAAAAATGACCTGTGACAATAAATTTTTTAGAATACAATGACAATACAAAAATTAACTATCAACACGAAATGTCGTAACAAATTATCTCTATAAATACATAATTACGATTATCTTAGTGTTTCCATTGTCGTATTGCATGAATTGTCGTTTACCTCCCGGATTTTTGATATTTATCTATCGTTATGTAGAATAATGTCTTGTATGCCAAGCTGTTCGTAAGTCATGAACGGCTGGAGTGATTGAGCATGTTGTTTCCTTTTTTAATCGAGGTGACGCTGGTATTGTGAAACAGAAAGGCAACAATTAATAATAGGTACTCTTGGAACTATTATATGGAACTGTCGCGGAGAACCTAACGGGTAACCGGGGCTCCAGCTCGACGTGCAGGAGAAGGAACGGGGTGGTTTTTAGTCAGTAAGAGTCTGACACTCCCTCCCGTTTCACCCAGGCAGGAGCAGTCATTCGATGATTATCCCCACTTAAAAAAATATATATATGGAACTATAATTATATATATTACTCGGGTTCAAGACGCAAGTGAAGACATTATTTTTTACCAGTCATTTTAGGTAAAGGTATTCTCTGAATGGGTAGCGAGCCAATAGCCTAATAACGGGCCAAATTCCAAACTCTATACTTCAGTAATCAGAATAATTCTAAAGGTAAAAATCAAAATTAAATGTTATTATACCTAACTCGATTTAAACCTAAAAATCCAGAATATTCGATTAATTTAACTATACTAAAAACTGTAATAATGCGAGTAACACCACGAGACAGAGTTAGTATAGAAATAGAAACGAAAATCAAAGTAAAGATATATATACACACTCAATCATAATAATATTTTTAAGTATGTCCTAAGCTGATTACAATATGAGTAGCAATATTATAATACTAGCACCCCGCCCGCGGCATCACTCGCACTTCAAACGTCGGTAGCCAATTTACTAAAAAAATATGCACGAATATTTTGTTAGTGACAAATAGTCCGCATACCAATTTTTAGCTCTCTATCTTGAAAACTGCAAAATGCTCCATACAAAGTTCCGCTTCCCATTTTAGGGAAATGGGCGGTGAGAAAGAGACGAAAAATAAGCCTATATCATAATATTTCAGCCTTTCAGCTATCTTCACTTAAAAAAATCAAAACTCAAAGTCTTTATTTGTATGTTAAGGTCTTATGAAATAACAGGCATAGCTTAACGGCTTTTTTCAGGCGTTGCAAATTTTAGGGGTGTCACCAGCTTATTATAAATTACATTTTGGTTAACATTTTTTTACATATTTATTGAAATTACTTACATATTTATTGAAATTACATATTTATTTAAATCACGTCATTTGTTCGCTCCGTTTTGCCGTGAAAGACGGACAAATAAACAGACACACACACTTTCGCACTTATCATCGCATTAATAATAGATATCGTATAAATTCGGTAAATAAAAGTTTTACGAATTGATTAATATTACGTTGCTATATTTTATATTTAGCAATAGATATAGAGCTTAGTGACACATTATACTTGTAACGCCTGATTATCTGAATGACTATTGTTTTAGTTGTTTAATTTACGACAATAGTATGTGGCGTGGTTTCTGATTATGTCTAGGTAAACGTCTATTGATGCTATCTAAAACATTCATCAAGAGAATGATTCTTTATCTTAGAAACTATCACATTGAATCAGAATAAGAATTATTTTTGTTGCTACAAATACAATTGTGTACGTTTTCCTTAATCAAAAATAAATTATTTCGACTGTTCAATACAATAAAATATTAAAAAATAACCACACTTTCATTAATTGATTTTATGACCAACTTAATTTTAGTATTTTTCCAGCAATTCTTTAAGAAATAAGTACGCTGTTTAACCCTAAAAAAACGTGACGTCACAATACACAATCTTGTACGAAATTCATAGAGGACTGTACGAAAAAAGAATTGAATTTGACAAGTACCTACCCAATTTGATAAATTAGCAAATCACTGTACAATCGCTGTAACAGCTAACAAGCTTAGAGCAGTAGACCTGGACCAGGTCTATTTAGAAGATCAGATGACTCCCTACAGATGCTGATAGTGGCCTCTAGGGGAAATGTAGGAAGATAAAAATCCTACCCTGCACGAAGGTTTTTTAGGAGAACAACTACTTAAAACTGTAGCCTGTCAAATGCCCCTCGTCTATTTTGCTTGACTTAGCAGTTCAGTATTAAGTAAGAGTTTTTATCCGTTGTGGGCACCTATCCAATAGGCATACTCATTACTTAGGTACTATTGGTATTAAGTTACCGGGGGCAATTATTCTCCTCCTCAATGTCCCTAATCCCCGAATCCCCAACAACCCTCTTTCTAATCTCCGTAAGGCCGGTAACGAACTTTAATGTGTATGGTATTTCCGATGTCCATGGGCGGTGTCGATTGTTTAGCATCAGGTCCGTCTGCTCGTTTACCATCTTATCCCATAACAAATACCAATAATGTTCTCCTATACACAATTTCATAATTTTATTACAGAAAGAGTGTCGAGGTGCTTTAGGCACTATATCTCAAGTCGCCTCAGGAGTGGGCATGTTGATCTTCCTCAGTATTGGACCGTTTCTGCCGTACTACGAGTTACATGTGATGTATACGTGTATCACAGTCACCATCTGTCTCCCACTGTGGTTTATCCCGGAGACGCCCTACTATTTGTATTCAAAAGGTTAGTGTCATTCCTACCGATCAACCCCCAAAAAGCTCACAGGTGATGGTCAAAAACAAGTTCTATTTTCACAAGAGTAAGGATTAAAATGTTTCTTTTTTATCTAACCAACCGTTCAAGGTTGAATTTGCATGAATAACACTTAACACAAAGAGGATTAAGATTGTAAAAACATTTTTTTGTCAGCATTTTCGGAAGGTTTCCATTTAGACTCTGCTATAGTTATAATGAATTAATATTAATTACTAAGTACGACCACACATCGGTGGTGACGTCAGAGTAGACCACATTGTAGAATTCCACGGATGTCGTAAATTGATTAAAGGACTACATATTTAACAGAGATTGCGCAGTGCTCTGTGATAAACCTGAATCTTGTATACTGTGATCTCCAACCCGCCTGCCAAACGTGGCGATTATGGCAATCCGTCCTATATAAATGGTTTTTCTTTCTTTCTTTCTTTCTATATAGAGAATATATAGTTCTTTCTATATAGTCCCATTAGTTCAGAATTGGACTCACACGTGCTGTCGATGATGAAGAAGATAATGATCGAGCGACATTATAATAATGCGGATACAATTTCGATAGACTGCTGTGCCTGACACGTAATGTGTCGCGGGTTCGATTCCCGCATGGAAAAACTCGTGTGATCCACAGATCGTTGTTCCGGATCTGGGTGGCATGTGTATGTGAACTTGTAAACACACCCACGACACAGGAGAAAACCAAAAAAAAAATCTACGACTGATAATTTAAATAAATTTTTAAAAACTCAACAATCTTGAACGTGACAACCCGTATTCTGTCAAAATTTCGCTTAACGAGGCAGTACAAAAATAAAATAACATAACATCACGCCTTTTATCCCCGAAGGGGTAGACAGAGGTGCACATTACGATACTTAAACTGTCAAACACCAAGCGGTCACCGGTGACCGCAACCTATTGTTCTTTAATTGTGTCTATATATACGGTACTTGACGAGTTAATGCCACTGTACAATGTAACACCTACTTTTCACTATTTATGTTATGAGTCCCATGTAATAAGGGGTGAGCCTATTGCCATATACAGGGCACAGTTCCAAACTCCGTGTTACTACTGAGATTTTTAAAAACCCAGTAATGCTTTGCACTACCCGGGAATGGAACCCGAGACCTCTTGACCAGCAGTCGCACTTGCGCCCACTCGGCCAACGAGGCACAAAAATAAATTAAAGACAAAATAAACTTCAGAAAATCACAAATATTAATCTTATCTTCTATTTTCAGGGCACAAAAAGAAATCTCTGAACACTCTAATCTACCTACGAGGTTCAGAGGAAATAGCTCTTGAAGAGATGAAACTATACTCCTTGAGTCAGCCAAAGATATCAAAAAGGGAGATTTTTAGGGACCGCACGACGCTAAAGACGTTGGGCAAAGTGGTACTTTTGACCATGTTGTTAGAACTAATTGGGTACAATGCTGTTTTATTTTATATGCAAACTATATTGCAATCCACACATACTTCTGTTAGTGAACAGATAGCGTCTGTTGTAAATGGGTGTATCCAATTGGTTGCTTCATTCTGCACTATATTTACAACTGATAGATTTGGAAGGAAACCTATCTTGATTACGTCGCTCATGGGAATGACTTTGGGAATGGTAAGTTTAATCATTTCTTCTTTGCTTCTTTATTTTCTGTAAATGAAAATATTATTTGGTTTCATGTTTTTCGGAATTATTACCATTCTCGATAAATGTAATCGTGAAATGCGTTACATGGAGAAAAAATGTTCACCACTTATTATTTTATTTTTTTTATGACATAAGCCGGTAAACGAGCAGACGGCTCACCTGATGGTAAACAATCGGCGTCGCCCATGTACTTATGGCTACATGGCTTTTTGGGAATTAAGAGTTTGAGGATCGTTGGAGATTCAGCGATTGGGGAGATTGGGGAAGGGGAAGGTAATTGAGCCTCCGGTAACCTCACTCACACGACGAAACACAACGCAAGCGTTGCTTCACGTTGGTTTTCTGTGAGGCCGTGGTATCACTCCGGTCGAGCCGGCCTATTCGTGCCGAAGCATGGCTCTTCCACACTTAATTTATTTTTTTCCTTTATTTTTAAAACAATAATCTATTATTACAAATGAACCGACATTTTCTTATCACATTACAACAAATAGACAAAAATGTGACTTAATGATTTGCAAGTAATTTTATCAAAATAGATTCAATCGTTTATAATGATTATTAATAATAAGGCGCCTACTCATATAAATAGATGTCATTAGAACATCGTCAATGAGTCAGAAAAAAAAACTAATCAGCTGATTCGTATCTATGATTTTAAAGGCCATCGTACATTTAACAAGCTCGTCTCCGGCACGGTTTTGGAAATAATACAAAATGGTTGTAAGCGCGCCGTCAGCAAGCGGTTTTTATATTGACGTTATAATATATATCATACGACATACAATTTAAAGTTCATATTTAAATGACAAGCACGGCTGTAACCCAGCGGAGTTAGGCTTATTAGGTGTGCGAAGACGTTTATGCTGGTGAATGATTATGTTTTTGTTACTAAGTATTTCAGAAATTGCGAGATTTTATTTTAAAGATGTGTTTTTGCCGTTTGTTATGAACATATTTTTTATTTTAGTTTATTACTATATTTACAAAATCATATTATTTCTATGGAGTGTTTGTATGATTAAATAAATTTGGCGTTAGCAATTTCTAAAAAGCATTTTAACATAGTACGATCAACGTCAAAGCATTTATTTTAAATTACCTAAATAAAGGGATTTGAGACGCAAAAAATAGAATCGTTGGCCAGGTCATCATTGAATCGAAGTTCAGTCACATGTACAATTGTAGATTCTTAGGTATTTTACGTGATTTAGATGCACACAATGTTTTCCATTATTCAGTCATGTTTTAGTGTAAGGTGAAAGGTTATTTTGTGTTTTTAAATTTGCCTTCGTTTGCAAAGTGCATTTGCTTAAAGTTTCGTTATAATCTAAACAAAATGTTTGTCTTTTACAGCTTGGATTGGGCACATTTTTCCAATTGAAGTCGATAGCAGTGCCCACAGTTGGATTCCTCAACTTCTTACCACTCCTGTCCATGATGCTGGTTATATTCTGTTTTAATGCAGGTAAGTACTTCATTAAGCAATTACATCTTTTTATACCAGTCTTTTTTATACCACGACGGTGGCAAAAAGCACACGGCCCACCTGATGGTAAGTGGTTACCGTGGTCTGTGTACACTTCTAATACTTGGGGCATTATATGCCCCTTGCCGACTCTTATTTTAAAGCTTATCAAATTGACAATACTCTTTCGTGTTTTAAAGTAAAAATGATAAACAAGAACGGATAGGTTCAATTCTCCAAATCAATTAAAATATTGCATTAAGAAGAACAGGAAGTCGAATCCCAGATTAACTTCACAGTCCTTTTTAACATCCCTTCAATAATTTCCAAAACCACATCAAGGATCAAATAAACAGCGCACCCTTATATGATGGACATTCCACCCATTTGCACGAAGCGTTTCGCGTCGCGCTAAGGCATGGTATTTCTTGCTGGAATATCTATGTTTCCCGACAAATACAACTTGGGTGTCTTCAAGTCCCGAGTGAACAGGTTGCTCATAGGCAGGCGTGCTCCATCGTCGGCCACGTCAGTGTAAACCACCGGGCGAGATGGTGGCCAAACGTCAATCTAACAAGTATAAATAAAAACAAAATAAGTGAGTTCGTTGGTACACCACCACCACGTTTATTACCTAAAAAACTAATCTATCTTTTTATTCCCTCATCATTACCATATCAGTCACAAGCCACTACAGAAGGGTTAGTCCTAGTTTATTTTACGATAATGAGATCGAAAAGAGACTACATTCGGCGCTCTAATTGTTTAGTTCATTAGAGTTGGCCAATCAAAACGCCGAACGCGGTCTATTTTTATATTTGATGGGCCGACGTTTATCCACTATCTCGCCTGATGGTAAGCGATGATGCGGTCTACGATGGAGCACGTCGTCCCATAAGCAACCTATTCACTCGGGCCTTGAAGACTCCAAGGTTATATATACCCTTCAGGAAACGCAGACTCTGGCAAAGAGTTCTACCCCTTAGCAGTACGCACAAGGAAGCTTGATGCGAAACGCTTCATGCGTACTGTTTTTCAAGGTCCATTTCGTTAATCGTAAAGCTAACAGGTCAGGAAGAGATAAGTCTCCTCCAATGGCTTATACTTTCTGTTCCCTATAATTTAAATAAGTCTTGTTCTCTTTCCAGGTATGGGCTCCTTATGTTTCACAGTGGTAGCAGAATTATTTGACGGTCCAGCTCGAGCGGTCGGCGTATCCGTGGCGATAGGTGTCGCGACTTTCTTTGCGTTCTTACTTACCAAGTACTTTGTCAATGTGTCATTTGCAATTGGCGATGCAAATGTTTACTGGATTTTTACCTGTATGTGTATTATAACTATTTTGTTTATACTGTTTTTTATACCAGAAACTAAAGGCAAGACGTTTACGGAAATACAAGAGGAATTAGGACGTAATATTGAGAAGACAGATCTGAAATAAATTATTGTTAGACTATTATTTGTTTTTTTATCAACTGACCTATTGTTTGTGTGATGTAAGAAAGTACCTTAAGTCGGTCGTTGACCGAAAGCTATACTAACTTAGTTTAGCTTAGTTCGCATAGCTAACGCAGTTTTCCATACTCGTGTGCAGCTAATGCAGCTGTAGCCAAATGCCATTTAGCGCTTGTCTACATGTAGAATAGAAAACTAAATTATATGGGATTGACGTCAATTTTGACACTTGTCAGTGTCATCCCCATACATTTTGATATCTACTCTCTCTGTAGACAAGCTCTAAAGTGGCGTTTGGCTAAAGGTCCAGGGCACAAGGTGTCGTGGTGACCCATAGGTTTAAGACGCCCACTTCTCATGTATTCGGCAGGTTCAAAACCTACCAACAGCAAGTACCAATGTGACTTTTACCGAGTTATACTTATATGTACTTTCTAAGATTATTCAGACACCACTGACAAACGGTGAAGGAAAACATCGTGAGGAAACCTGGGCTTATAATTTCTGATTAAAAGTTTGAAATCACCAACCCGCATTGAGCAAGGGTGGTGATTAATGCTCAAACCTTCTCCGTGTGAGAAGAGGCTTTACTCAACAGTGGGCACTTATAGGCTGTTGATGAAACAGGGCAAAAAACAGTTTTAGGCCATAACAGGGTTCTAGAGCTGGTTATTGTAAAGAACCCAGTGCTCCTAATTGGTGGTAACTGTCTTCAAAGAAAGAGGTACCTCTTGTAGGTCAAATCCAAGTGTGTTTCTGACTAAACGGAGTTTTTGTCAGCAGTAAACGTTTCCTGATTCTGTGCCAATGAGACAGTTTTAAATTCAGATTAAGAGAATATAGTTATGTTTTGTTCCTCAGCCTCGTTGGCCGAGTGGTCGCAAGTGTGACTGCCGGGCAAGGGGTCTCGGGTTCGATTCCCGGGTCGGGCAAAGTATTACTGGGTTTTTAAAAAAACTCGGTAGTAGCACGGAGTCTGGAATTGTGCCTGGTATATGGAAATAGGCTCACCCCCATTACATGGGACTCATAACATAAATAATAAAAAGTGGGTGTTACCTACTTCTGTGTGCACCTCTGCCTACCGCTTCGGGGATAATAGGCGTGATGTTAAGTGTTATGTTTTGTCACGACTTGACAATGTTTGGACTGAAGATTCCAATGTAACAATATGGTATGTGGGATATAAGATATTTTACAAAATAACAAAAGCGTCTTTTATCACAGTTTTATAACGATTTTATTTTAACTTACACATTAAGAAATACAGTCATACTTTGTCCATAATACTAAAACAGTCATGTTTTGACATTATGTAACCCGTGATCCCTAGTTTGGTAGTCGTGGTAACCACTCAACACTATTTGAGAGAGATAATTATCTAACAGTATACAGAGGTATCACACAGTAAATACTACAGAGGTATCACACTTTTAAAACATAAAATGAGATTACATTATTTTAAGACTTACGGTAGGTCCAACTTGTACTAAGTTACATATAATAAATATAAACTTATAAGGCTACAAAACCGCGTTGTGACGCATCAAAACTAACCAATACCTATTTGACAAACGAGCAGACGACGGATGACTTGATGGCGATCATCGTTACCTATGGATACCAACAACATTAAAGACACTAGTGCGTTGCTGGCGTTATGAAAAGGAGTACGCTCAGGAGTGGATTAAGGATTCGTACACAAAACTGCAATGCAAATTCGCAACGCAAAAAAATACTATTCGAATTGCTGCGATGCAATTTCATGCGACAAGGCGTCTCCAAGGGTGATCATTCCTTCGACGACCGTCAATCGTACTAAACGTATTTTAAATTGAAAACTAGGTCGTGACATGGATCGTAAAAAGAAGTGTGCACTTCTGTTATTGCTAAGGAGATACAGGAAAAAGAAACAAAGAAGATTCTAGGAAGATAAGATTTTGATGCGCGATGCGAATCAATTCGCAAGTTCTTGCGATGCGTAATGGGAGCTCGTGCATTTTTGCGTGTTTTCGTATCCAAGCTCTAAATCTAGTGAGCGCCCAAAGCAAGCGTCTCATAGGCACCCCTAATTCATTTTGGTGCCGCTGTCACTCTATGGGCTGCTTCTCGCGGCGCCCCTGCCACTTGCCTAATTTACCTTAGGGTTAAAGGACCTACATTTAAAAGCACGGCTCCAACCCAGCCATTAAGTTGTCATTTAAATATGAACTATAAATCGTATGTCGTATGATACATTTCGTAACGTCAATACAAAAGACGGCGGGTGGTCAGCGCGCGGTCCAATCGAGGTGTAGTCGAGGCGCCCGCGCGCTTTCGGCGCGCCGCCCGCGTGACGTCGGCGAGGCGTCGGCGAGTTCCTCCGTGTACACTCATTTCTATCATAATCAATGTAATATCCTATGTACAACAAGATACTAGTTCGTGGTCGGAACGCAATATTGTAGCCTCACTATTTTGTCAATAAATATAAAAACATAGACTGTCAATAGCAAAAACAATCTTAATCTAACTAACATAAAAACTAAACTAGCATTTAGTATCCTCACATTTCTTCCCTCTCAAAATGTCTTGAATCTCAGCAAAACTTTTACCCTTTGTCTCGGGAATACAAAACATTATGAAAACACATAACAATATACAATTAACACTAAATATCCAATAAGTTACTGCTGGTCCTATTAAGAGGGATACTATAGCAAAATATTTTGTCGTTAAAAAGACAAATAGGGTTGTTGCTATTAGGGAGATGGACATCCCTAGTCCTCTGGACGGTCCGTCGAAGAGTTCTGCGTTTAATACCCACATTAGAGAACCGATTCCTGGAAAATGGAAAATACTGGGTTAATTTAAATTCAGAATAAAGATTTTTATTATTATTATATTATTATAATTAAAGTCCTTAAAGCCCAAGACAAATTAGGGGACAAATATACCAAGACTGCTGCTGATGATTGGCAACGCCCATTGACACCCCGAAACACAGGAGGCGTTACAAATAATTTACCGGCCTTTTAGGGATTAGAAAATACATCAAGTTGGTCCATAAATATGTTCTGGTTTCTTTTTAAGTAAAATACTGACATTCAGACTATCTGGTGAAGAATAAGTTAAGAGAAAGATTAATCTTAAATGTAATAACAAAATACAGAAATAATTACCTGCACTGTAACAGAATACGACTAGAATCAATGAAATTAGTGGCACGTAGTTCATGAAACCGTCCACTGCTCCGTTTTCTTTCAGCTTGAAGAACAATCCCAAGCCAAGCTGGAACGGACACAATATTATATATTAGTAAGTACTCTTATTTACCGACGAGCATGAATGAAAAAACTGATGACTGTTGATGAACCGAAAGAGGTGTATCAATTGGCGTTCCATAGTCTCTGCCGAGGTTCATTTGTCGAGAGGCCGCAAGTGCGACTACCAATTAAGAAGAGATCATGATCTTAAAGAATTATTCTTTTATTTCTCAAGAATGGCACAGCGTCATTTTATGACACAAGCAAGCCTTATCTCCGAATACATGGGAATCGTAGGATACTGATCACTAGTGAAAAGGAGAAGTTACATTTCGGTAATAAAAAAGAGGTGCTACGATTAAAAAATATTAAAAAGAACTCACCATTCCCAATCCCATGCCAACACAAGTGACAGACAAAATAGACTTCCTTCCAAATCTATCAGTAACCAGCGTTGTACAAAAACTAGCAAACAGCTGAATCAGGCCAATAGTCACAGAAGCCACTTCAGGCTTAACTGAGGTCTGGGTAGATTCCAAAACCGTCTGAAGGTAAAACGAAACCGCATTGAAACCCACAAACTGGGACCCCAAACCCAAAATCAGGACTAAGGTCAATGATTTCAAAAACAATCGGTTTTTGATAATGTCTTTTTTGGAAACACATTCGGTGTTCATTTCGTCAGCTTTTTCAAATTCTGCTAATTCCTCTTTGGCTTGTGTTTCTGAACATCTGAGGAATGTTAGGACCTTTAGTGCTTCTGCTTTATGACCTGGAATGGAAAGATTAAGTGGTTAAGATGGGTAAGTAAATACTTTCTGAAATCAAATTATTAAGATTTTAAAATAACAACAATAAAGGTGCTCCCTCACCGGGAGCATTCACGTGTAATGTAACATATAGATTCGACTTTGAGCATTTCATAGCAAGATGTCAGACATTGATGTTACAATTTGTATCAAGATATTACACATTGTATCATTACTTTTGTGCATTGCGCACGAGAATTGCGCATTGTAATGCTCGGTTCTCCTCCTTCACTGATATAATGCTCAGATCTGTAACGTTATATTACACGCGAATGCTCCCAGTGAGGGAGCACCTTTATAACATTCTCATCCATAATGTAATTGCTCCAGACTTTTAATATCTATTTGCTTACTCAGCTCTTTACCTTGTGTGGCACAAGGATTTTCTCCAATATCGTGGGTGCGTTAACAACATTGGAAAATTTGTGGACAAGTTCACATACACACGACACCCAGACCCGGATCAACAATTTGTGGATAACACAAAGAGTTGCTACGTGCGGGAATTGGACCCGCGAAACGTTGCGCGGCAGCCGGTTGCCCAGCCACCGCACCAACCTTGCAGTCGAATATGTTTCACGAAAGTTTTAATATAAACAAAGCATTAGATAATGTTAATCAATTTCTGTAGGTACCTCTAGAATACAAAGAATAGGGTCCATCAGGCAGTATCAGTAACGGCAATGTGGTACATATGATGAACCCGGTGTAGATCATGTTCAGCGTCGTGTAGGATATGAAGGGTCCCATGGACAGCATGGTGACCACACCAAACGAGCACATGATTTGGAGGATAGTGCCCATACTGCCGCGAATTTCTTTCTGGAATTGGAAAAGTGGATAAGGTTATTGAAATAGATTTTTTCTTAAGAGGTAGACAATGAAAAAGCAGGGGTAAAGTTGAAGTTTAAATTATTTATTCCAATAGGGGTCACCAAATTGTTCATCAGATGGCTAATATGATGAATAGGAAATTTACTATCCAACTTATCCTTATCCTTACTGTCCAACCATTGACTTTTTTTTTAAAACGCTCCCCACACTATGTCTTTCTCCTGTGTCGTGGGTGCGTTTACAATAATACAATATCACCTACACATGATACCCAAACCCAAAACAAAAATTTGTGGATCATAAAAAAAATAGTTCCGTGCGGGAATCGGACCCGCTACACATTGCGTCACGACCTATTGCATAGCCAATGCGGCAACCGTGCAGTCACATTTTTGACAGCTGCTGTGATTGAACAAAAATCCTTTTGCTATATTTCCGCCATCTATTGAGCAAAACTAGGTACCTACAATATGCCCCATTAGAGTAGCCGTACTGAACGTCAAATATTTAGCCACATCTTCTGTGTTGCATATACGGGTTTCGGTTACAATTTTTTAACAATTTTATGAAATGCAGCTATGATTGTAGAGGTGAAGTAAGTAGGGTGTTTCTTGTCTATGGTCCACAGATAATAATAGATATTAAGTATTCTATCAACAAGACTTCATTTCTCATTTTTTTAGCTTATATTTTATTTTATTTTTTAATGATGTTATGTAGAGGTATGTTCTACGCAAAAATAAATGGTTTTTCTTTCTTTTTTCTTTCTTTACATTTGACTCGTAAGCTTGTTTGCAATGACAATGTTATTTTTTTTATTTGTCATCGGTATTGTTTTATCCTATTACCACGTTAACTGCCACGTAGGTTAAACTGGTGACCGGAGTTAGCAAGGATTTGCCTTCAACAGGTGTCTGAGGGCAGTCAAAGGCAAGATAATAAGGCATGTGTTATTAATGAGGACTTTCATTTTTCGAACACCAAATCCGTGTGAAAAGATACGTGTGTTTAATCAATGTAGCTGTCAAAAACTGAATGACCAATGGTGTGACGAAAAGATGATAGGCCCACGGGACGATCTCCGGCCACCGTAAGCGCGGGCCTGCGGACGGCGAGCATGGGTGGCTCGCCGCCCAACCAGAAGCAGAACCGAGCGTATGTGTACTCAAAGAGCCATCAGACCACCACGGATTCTGAGCCGCGGAGAACTTAACGGGTTACCGGGGCTCCGGCTCGAAGTGCATGAGTAGGAACGGGGTGGTTTTTGGTCAGTAAGAGCCTGACACTCCCTCCCGCCTCACCCAGGGCCAAGGGTCAGTTAAATTAGAATGAAGATACAAAGTAAGTAAAAAGTATACTGACCCATCAGTGAGCGAGTTCGACTCCCTCTTGTTGTGTTTTTATGGTAAACGCAGGTAATTATAGTAAACATTTGGACGATTGAACAGAATTATATGGTGTAAAAACTCTAACAAGAAACAAATAAGTACCTACTATATTTTGTGAATGTTTTTTTACCTAAAATAATGACGTAGGATATTCTCACAATATTATAGGTAGGTAATTATGCTTTATGAGCATTTTCTGAATGAGTGATTTTAATTATTTAAAATCTGGTATTTGTCTGCATATTGCATATATAATTTTCTTTGTTCGTAGTCAACGATTTTTGTCGTTTTGAGAAATTAATTTTGTATAGGTAAGCATTAAGTGCAGCAATGTGCAGTTTTTTAAGTGTGTAAATAAATGTAATTAGAGACTACAACGCTAGCAAAAGAAATTGCAAAAAAATATTGTTGTAATTTAAACATAACATCACGCTTTTTTATCACTGAAGGGGTAGGAAGAGGTGCATATTATGCCACTGTACAGTGTAACACTTAGGTACTTTTCACTATTTATGTTATGAGTCTTAAGTAATAGGGGGTGACTCTATTGCCATATACCGGGCACAATTCCAGACTCCGTGCTACTAATGTAATTTTTAAAAGACCCAGTTATACTTTGCCCGGCAGTCGCATTCGCGACTACTAGGCCAACGAGGCAGTCATAAACATTTAAACAAAAAGTATAAGAACGAGAAGATACATTCCAATTTGCGCTTATTTTATAATATGAATGAGTTCCATGTTACAACTTAAAAGTACATTCCGTAACTGAATATTAAATACTAGCTTCTGCCCGCGACTTTGTACGCGTACCATCCCATTTTTTCCAGTCCCCGTTCGTGAGTTTCGGAAAAAAGTAAAGTAAAAAAAGGAAAGGAAATTGTTTAAAAGTATCCTATGTCGGTCTCCTGGCTCTAAGCTACCTCCCTACCAATTTTTAGCCAAATCTATTCTGCCGTTCTTGAGTTATAAGTGGTGTAACTAACACGACTTTCTTTTATATATATAAGATTATAAACATTTTACATAGCCTAAAAGTCAAACTCACTTCCATACATACATGCATAACCTCACGCCTGTCTCCCATGGAGGTAGGCAGGCAGACAGGCACTATGGAACGCCGATGGCTACGATTCTTATATACTCCTTTCGCCAACAGTCATTAGTCTTTTCATGTATGCTAGTCGGTTAAGGGTATTTTTTATTTAGCCCTTCTTTAATAAGGGTATCGCCAATTTGGTCGATATATTATATAGATCAGTCTAGGGCACCCTCTACCGACGCTATACGGTCCCCATGCACTTACTACCATACGAATCATACTTCAAAAACTACGTAAACAAAAATATACTCACGCTAGCAATTTCTGAAGCATACATAGGCAGTATGGTGAAGATGCCAGCATCAGCTATGCCCACCAGAGCTCTGCCTAGTAGCAACATCCAGACTTCTGTAGCGTATATGTAGAGGAATCCAGTCACAAACTTAGGCAGACACATGAAGATCAGGAACGGTTTTCTGCCAAACCGGTCTATTAGGACCGTTCCTATGATCAGGTTCGCTGAAATTGAGAACAATACTTGTTATTATAATATAAAAAATTGTACATAATACGGATCCCCTGATAGTAAGCATACGACACCGCCCATGGACACCCGAAACACCAGAAGCATTACAAGTGCGTTACCAGCCTTTTGGAGATTAGGATTTAGAGGGGGTTCGGGGATTGGGGAGATTGACAATTGGGCCAGTAATGTTATCAGGCTCATAATTATTATAGTAGGCGAGCACCTAGCTTTACTGACGAACAGTTTGACGAGCTATTTTGCTAAACGTTCCGTATTTAGTCTAGATCCTTACTCCTTACTCTTGAAACCAATCTCAATGTCAATGCAATTTCAAACCAATAAAATCTCAATAATTATTCAATGTCAAAACTATACAACCCCAATAATCGTAGCTGTTAAAATAGCATTCAGAGTACGGAATATAAAGACAAAACTGAATACCGTTTAGTTCATTAAATATCCACGCAATACGGATGCAACTGAAGAGTATGAAATTTCACAATAACAATGTCAATCGATCGAAAATCGAAATTTCAAAAAACCACAAAATATCTTAATGGGACTCGAATATTCGCCCAGGGTCATTCGATAGCAGAGTTAACCCAAAACCATGGAAGATGTATTTATATTTTACTTTTAAGTTTAAAACGTCAAGCGTCACCGATTCATGGTAGACGTCCCACCCACACGCACGAAGCGCTTCGCTTCAAGCTTCCTTGTGTGTACTGCTTAGGAGTGAAATTCTTTGACAGAGCCTGTATTTCCTGAAGGGTCTGATTCCTGACTTGGATGTCTTCAAGGCCCGAGTGTGTTGATTGTAACTATTCCATTTTGACTTTTATTCATTAATTTAAATTCGATTATATGTTACATTTTGATATTAGATATTAGATATTTAATGATAAATGTCAACTTTACTTTTAAAAAATGTTAACTTTATTTATTAGGTAAATGTTGCTGTGCTCTCACGGGGTCCATAAATGTATCTTAGCTTTAAGCCTATTGTAACACCTTATTTACTTTATGGTATGCAAATTAATTCATATGAATATGAATAGGTTGCTTATGGGTCGATGTGTTCTATCGTAGGCCACATCATCGCTTACCACCAGGCGAGATAGTGGTCAATCGTCAGTCCCATCTAATATAAAAAAAACCGCGTCACACGTATGATAAACATCTACCATGGGTGAGTAAGTTGGTACTAGAATTACACAGTTGACCGTACGTACTTATAAATTTAGTAAACGTTCTGTCTTACATTTAGCTGAGACTGTTATTAGAAATGTCTCGCTTCACGCGGTCTACAGCCAGGGACTGTACAATAAATACAGTAAACATAATTCAATAATAAAATTCTCAGTAGTAGCACGGAGTCTGGAATTGTGCCCGGTATATGGCAATAGGCTCACCCCTATTACATGGGACTCATAACATAAATAGTGAAAAGTGGGTGTTACATTGTACAGTGGCAATAATGTACACCTCTGCCTACCCCTTCGGGGATAAAAGGCGTGATGTTGTGTTATGTTATCCAAAACCTTAAAACTCTGTGGGATGGTGCATTAATATTGTTTGGTGATTGATTGCCAAAATTAAAAAAAAACTGTCCTGGGATTTAACTAAAAATCGCGGGTTACTCACGTGAATATACTGAGAAAATCTCTACTAGTTTCGAACCACAGAGGGGTTCTTCTTCATGAGTAGCGTGCGCGGTCGCGGCGATGTCGCGCAGCCTACTGTACAGTATATTATATACTAGCGACCCGCCCTGGCTTCGCACGCGTGCAATATGCATGTATTACACATATAAACCTTCCTTAAGAATCACTCTATCTACTAAAAACCGCATCAAAATCCGCTGCGTAGTTATATAGATCTAAGCATACATAGGGACAGACAGACGGCGGATAGCGATTTTGTTTTATTAATATACTATGTAGTGATATACTGTACTACAGTAGATCCACGTGAGTAACCCGTGATATTTAGTTAATTTAGTATATCTCACGATAGTTATTATAAAAATAAAGTTGAGAGATGATGCTTAGTAGTTTCGTATTGTTCATTTTTTTGTGTTATCTTATTACTTTTGACCGCAACTGATGTTTTTATTGCTTACCTATGTTCTTAATCTTGATCTTTTGTTGTATTACACATTGTAAGGAATATCCGGGTACTTATTATGGCAGCCAAATAAATTTCTGTCAATATCACAATATTATTTACGTTTAAAATGCAGATCTATTAACATGACTATCACAATTCTAACGACCTTCTAATATCCTACAGCTAAAAAATTGTCAATTTAGTCTGTAAGTTTAAATAAAAAGCATAAAATGTTAATGAAACTTATCATTTTGGTTAATAAATAATAATGTAGGTACCCGTTTAAATAGCGCTGAACTAGCAACCTAGTCAAAAGATCGTTATTTTTTGCCTAACGAAGTACCATACACACCAGATTCGACATTGACAGTAGGTATATAGTACCTATATAGTACATTGATAGCAAAATAGACCTCTAATGCTGCCGTCCGAGTTGGTTACGCCGCCATGTTGGTCGCGCAACCAAGTTGCTACCAGGTGAGTTACTCTATATATAGCTGTATACATGTTAGTAGCGGTCACTGGTTGCACGCCATAGTGTCCTGGTGTAATATAGTCCGAAGATTAAACCAAACTTGCTAGTATTTTTTTTTATGGCATAAGCCGGTAAACGAGCAAACGGATCACCTGATGGTAAGCAATCGGCGTCGCCCATGGACACCTGGATCACCAAAGGTGTTACAAGTGTGTTACCGGCGTTTTGGGAATTAGGAGTTTGAGGATCGTTGGGGATTCAGGAATTGGGGAAATTGGGGATGGGGACGGTAATTGGGCCTCCGGTAACTCACACGACGAAACACAACGCAAGCGTTGCTTCACGTCGGTTTTCTGTGACGCCGTGGTATCACTCCGGTCGAGCCGGCCCATTCGTGCCGAAGCATGGCTCTCCCACACTTAAATTTAGGATTAATATGGTTAGCCCTTTCTAGCCCAATCTGACATTTCCTTCCGATGAAATATTTTTACTATATTGTAAGGAAAACCAGTGATCTGGTAATAAAGATTTTGGCTAAACTTATCTTCACCTACCATCTCAAAACTTTCTCACCTACAATTCCAGTCAAGAATCCGATGGAGACGATCCAGGATCCCTCCACAGCCGTGATGACCCTCGGGAGTACTGTCTCTGTGGCATTGTTGAGCTTCACCAGCACTGGAGAAGGCCAGGCCAAGCCTATACCAGAGCATAGCACGCTAAGATTGACTGAAACAGAAAATATGGGTTTTAAACGTTTTATAACGTACTAGCTACTTCCACGCGGTTTCACACGCTCTGCTCAGCTCCTATTGGTCGTAGCGTGATGTTTTATAGCCTATAATCTTCCTCGATAAATGCGCTATCCAACAAGACAAACATTATTCAAGTCAGACTTGTAGTTACGGAGATTAGCGCGTTCAAACAAACAAACAAAAAAAAACAAACTCTTCCGCTTTATATAATAGTATAAGACTACATAGTTACTCCCATTTTGTTTCACCCACTCTGCTCGGCTCCTATTGATCATGCCGTGATGTTTTACGGCCTAAAGCCTTCCTCGATAAATAAGCTATCCAACACAAAAATAATTTTTCTAATCGGTCCTGTAGTTCCTGAGATGAACACGTTCAAACTCACAAACACTCTTCAGCTTTAAATAATAGTAATAGTAATATAATATATAAGATTAAGAAGTTTGCCTCGTTGGCCGAGTGGTCGCAAGTGCGACTGCCGGGCAAGAGGTCTCGGGTTCGATTCCCGGATAGGTCAAAGTATTACAGGGTTTTAAAAAAAATCTCAATAGTAGCACGGAGTCTGGAATTGTGCCCGGTAGGTATATGGTAGTAGCCTCACTCCCTATTACATGGGACTCATAACATAAATAGTGAAAAGTGGATGTTACATTGTACAGTGGCATAATGTGCACCTCTGCCTTCCCCTTCGGGGATAAAAGGCGTGATGTTATGTTATGTTATTAACAAGTTTATTTACTCAATGCTATTTCAAGAGATTACCGCATTCACAAATAAACATACCTATGTAGGTACTATAAACATAATCAATATTTATTAATGTCTATCGAAATTTGCGGTTAATTCTAGTATCTTTTTCACACATTTTAGGGAAATATAGACATACACATCCTTTTTATTTGTATTCATATAATCGCAAATTGATATCAAACATAATAAGTCAAGATTGCACAATATTTTGTAATACCACTTTGACCTTCTGACCGTCAAAAAAATTGTCGCGAATGGTGACAATATATTATTATTTAACACAAACTATGTCATATACAACATGTAACTTAAATAACGCACATCCTGAAAATAGTTTGTTAAAAATCGTTAACTGAATCGATTTATATAATTTTTAGTATAGGTAATTTTTTATCCCAAAAATAATTAAAACTACGGAAATTATTATTATATTAACCCTGTATTGTTAAAACAAATCGAAATGGACCGTAAGTCAAAGCAATAAGACTTTTAAAATCGCAGTTTTATTTGTATTCATACAAATTCTATCATTCAATACAAAATAAAGAGAAATAAACCTTATGCCAAGACCAGTAAGGATACATATACATGTTAAATTAAAAATTTAGTGTATGTATTATGATTATAACATAATATTTCGGTTGATATTATAACATAATATTTACGATTATAACATAATATTCTTTGCATTGTTCTTACATATGCGTACAGTATTGAAATATGTATCAGAGACATTGTAGAACATACTTTTTTTTTAAAAAGAGTAACGAATGGAGTTTCTTGCTCGTTCTTCTCCATTCGAATCTACTTTTTGGAATGAGCACCTAGCTTCACCTAGTTTCACTGACGGACTGACTGACAGACTATTATTTATTTTGTATTTGTTGACGTTTCAAAAGTACCAAACTATGGTTTAATTGAAATAAATGCTTTGACTTTGACTTTATTCTAATTGGGGAGTTTGAGGGTGTGCGTTAATGTAACATGTTGTATAGTTAGAAGGTATTGTTTTAATTATTTTCTTTGTTAATTCAGAACCTTCAATTAATTCAAAAAATATATTCCAATAAAAATATATATGCACTGTATTTTATCTTCACTAACATATTTCTGTATTAACCTAACCTTAACCTAGTTACGTTATTAGGATTAGTAAGACGTCAAAATAACTCATATAAACAAAGTTTAAAAAATCGACTTCCACACCCCTTTTTTGAAGTCTGTTATTTAAACTGTCAAACACCAAGCGGTCACCGGTGACCGCGACCTATTGTTCTTTAATTGTGTCTATAAAACCGGTACTCGACGAGTTAATATAGAAAGAAAGAAAGAAAGAAGAAAGAAAGAAAAATAATTTATTCGCCACCAGACATGGACCACCGAATAACACATAAAATAATAACAAAATAACATTGAAAAACCTTCTCCGTAACAAACACATTTATTAGTTTGTTTCCACACATTGTTCATTAGTTCATAGCCTGCTTTTCTATACCCTTGCGAAGAGTAAGGGTGGTCAAATATGTTCTACTTTGCTATTATTATTTGTTTACGGGATAAGCCGGTAAACGAGCAGACGGATCACCTGATGGTACGCAATCGGCGTCGCCCATGGACACCTGGAACAACAGAAGCGTTACAAGTGCGATACCGGCCAGTTGGGAATTGGGAATTTGAAGATTGTGAGGGTTTCGGAATTGAAGAGACTCATTTACACGATGATACACAACGCAAGCGTGATTTCACTTCGGTTTTCTGTGAGGCCGTGGTATCACTCCGGTCGAACTAGCCCATTCAAGCCGAAGCATGGTTCTCCCACACATAAAATTTTTAGGACTTCGCATACGGATGATGACGTTGTCCAATGTCTATTTGTCAATATCTATGTCTATACAACAGCTATTCTTAGGACACTGTGTTTCTATTGTATTCCTATTGCTAGATTATGGCACAATTTCATAACAAGTCTCCATGATTGGTCCAAATTGTACACTTCCCTTCATTTTCTAAATTACTTATCTACGGGTTAAAAGGTCTTTATGCTGCACTCAGGGACATACTACTGAGTAAAGGTATTTTTTCGCACGGAGAAGTTTGACCATTAACCCATGGTATACCGGGAGGAGCGTAGATTTATACGCGAGGCACAATGTGTTTTCTATTCTGTCACATATACAACATGTAACGTAATTAACGCACACCCCAAATAGAATATTATGTAATAATCATAACATACATAACATAACATCACGCCCTTTATCCTCAAAGGGGTAGGCAGAGGTGCACATTATACCACTGTACAATGTAACACCCACTTTTCACTATTTATGTTATGAGTCCCATGTAATAGGGGGTGAGCCTATTGCCATATACCGGGCACAGTTCCAGACTTCGTGCTACTACTGAGATTTTTTTTAAAAACCCAGTAATACTTTGCCCGACCCGGGAATCGAACCCGAGACCCCTTGCTCGGCAGTCGCAATTGCGACCACTTGGCCAACGAGGCAGTCATAACACATACACTAAATTTTTAATTTAACATGTATATGCATCCTTACTGGTCTTGTCATAAGGTTTATTTTTCTTTATTTTGTATTGAATGATAGAATTTGTATGAATACAAATAAAACTGCGATTTTAAAAGTCTTATTGCTTTGACTTACGGTCCATTTCGATTTGTTTTAACAATATGACAATAATTTCCGTAGTTTTAATTACTTTTGGGATAAAAAATTGCCTATACTAAAAATTATATAAATCGATTCAGTTAACGATTCTGAACAAACTATTTTCAGGATGTGCGTTATTTAAATTACATGTTGTATAGGCAGATAAAAGGTTAACCGTGGTAGGTTTACGATTTAAAACTCTTAAGTTAAATCAAAATTTAGTTAAGACTACACAAAATTGTAATATATAAAATAACTAGCTTTTACCCGCGGCTTCGCTCGTGTCACAAAAGGATAACATATACCAATACATACAGCGCCATCTATACCAATACTTTTGATTTCCCTCGGGAATATAAAATTTTTTCGGGATAAAAAGTACCCTATTATTTAATCCAGACTACTAACTTTACGTCTGCAAGAATTCAATGCAATCGGTTTAGTAGTTACGGCGTGAAGTCGGAACAAACAAACATACAAACTCACTTTCCGATTTATAATATTAAGTAAGGATTTGGTGATTTGTGCAAACTGGTAACAGTGAGTGAGTCATGACCCATGATCATCAGGTGCATCGAACATCAACACGCGTCGTGGAGCTGACCTCAAAACATCGGCAGTTAGTTACGCGTCAACAGTTTTGTCGCAGTCGTCATCGCCACTGAGAATTGCTGAGCAAGCGAGATGAGCATCAGTCCACCGCCGCTATCGTGCTTACGGCACCTCCCGTAAACGCCGATAAACTGTTTGTAACAAGTTTTGCAGCGTAAGCGCAAGCATATAGTTAAAGAGAACTTAAAATGGTCTCATAGAGAAACCCGGCCTTAAGAAAAAAGCGACAAAGGTTAAGGAACATTAAGATCAAGCCATGCTTCGGTACGAATGGGCTGGCTCGACCAGAGTGGTACTATTGCGTCACAGAATAGTGATGTGAAACAACGCTTGCGTTGTGTTTCGTCGTATGAGTGAGGTTACCGCAGGCCCAATTACGGCCTCCCCAATCTCCTCAATCCCTGAATACCCAACGATGGTTTAAGCATTAATCACTACGCTTGCTCAATTCGAATTGGCAATTTCAAACTTATAATTAGACATTATAAGTCCAGGTTTCCTCACGATGTTTTTCTTCACCGTTTGTCAATGGTGTCTAAATAATCTTAGAAAGTACATATAACTCGGAAAAATCGCATTAGTACTTGCCGTTGACAGGTTTCGAACCCGCAACATCATGCATGAGAAGCGGGCGTCTTAAACCTCCGGGCCATCACGATATAACATACATACGTAAGGTAAGTTTATGTATGTACAGAATGCAGACGATGACGTATGTGCACTTGAAGACGTCAGCAAAATGCTATTTCCTTTTAAATTTTATAAGGGACAGGGAAGGAAAATATAACCGCTTAAAAGTATCAAGGAAGTTGTTTTCTACCTTATATTGCTACTTATACGAACTAAATTCCCATGACAGTAATGAGGTAGTAAGTTTGACGTGTAAATTATTTCTTTATTTATTATTACTCTTCCTCATCCTTGTTTATAAGAAACATAGGAAAGTTATTGTGGTATGAGTGTTTGTCACTGCAATGGGCAAGAACGGCTAGACCTTTCGATGGATTTTGATACATACACTAGCTACTTTCGCACGGTTTCACACGCTATGTTCAGCTCCTGTTGATCGTAGCGTGATGTTTTATAGCCTATAACCATCCTCGATAAATGCGCTATCAAACACAAAAATAATTATTCAAATCAGACTTGTAGTTACGGAGATTAGCGCGTTCAAACAAACAAACAAACTTTTCGGCTTTATTTACTAGTATAGTATAGATATACTATATAAATGTACATGGTGCAACTTTAACAGATTTTAGTCGGTCCGATTAGCGTGTGCGGCGAGCGAATTTTAAAAATATTTGAATGCAGTTTTCTTTCATTTCAAAAACAAAAAAAAAATCTTTGAATTTTTCTATCTTAAGTATTAAGAGTATTTCCCCCACAGGTGGCATTACTAAATTCCACCGTTTATAGGTATGCTTATGTTATCTGTGGCAAGCTGGCCACTTTCAACAGGGAATACTATGTATGTTCTTCTTTTGTTTAAAAATATATGAATGTGTTTCTGACTAGCTTGTTTAATTCACACGATAAATAATGATTACATATTGAATATATATAAAAATACTGTATCATAAGGAATAATGTAAGGACATTTTAGGTACCTATTAAGTATCTATTAGTATTTATTTGGGTTACCGACTAACGGTATGGTAAGCAGGTGTTCAAGGTCTTTTGACAGCTGATCTTAACGCTAATTTGGCATTGGCAAAAATTGTGCTATGCATTTAATTAAAAGAAATAAAATGAATTCATCTAATTTGTCACTTTAGACGTAGACAATGAACTACTTTAATACCAAATTTAGAGGGTCAATTTAAATTTCGTGACAAAAACTCCAAAAAAGTAATATCAAAAATCAATCCTTGTCCACAAATTTTGAATTGAGACCGTTCACTACTTTCGGAATTCAGTTAAATACCTACCTATCATATAGATTTTTTAAGGTTATTTTTTGTTGCTTTTTCTTATTCACTGTTTTAGTTTTAGTTTTAGTTTTGTACAATTGTAAAAGTAAAGTAATAATATTTTAGATTATTAATTTTGGCCGTATATTATATGGAGATTCTATCAAGTTTAAGTTTAAAATCCGTTATAAGGTAATTTTGGCCGCAAACGTTACACTACGTTATCTGGTCATTTTGAACCTTTTATACCTTTTACTTTCCTGGTAGAGGTACCCACACGCTCAAAGCCCTTTACATCAAGTTTCCTGCTAAGGAGTGGAATTGTTTGCCAGAGTTTGTATTTCATGAAGGGTATAACCTGGGTGTCTTCAAGGCCCGAGTGAATAGATTACTTATGGGACGACGTGCTCCATCGTAGACCGCATCATCGTTTACCACCAGGCGAGATGTGGTCAAACGTCGCCGGCCGGTCAAATATAAAAAAAAACTACAATCTTCTAGTTCGAGCGATTCTAGTCGAGCAACGCGGCTCGACCGGAGCGATACCACGGTCTCACAGAAAACCGACGTAAAACAACGCTTGCGTTGTGTTTCGTCGTGGGAGTAAGGACCGGAGACCCAATTACCTCCTCCACAGTCTCCCCGATCCCCGAATCCCCCACAATTCTAAAATTCCCAGTTCCCAAAAGCCCGATAACACACTTCGCCTCACGCCACATTCGTCGAACAGTATTGCAATTCCTCTTATGTAGAGGAGGCCGATGGACTAGCCTAGCACTGGTCTATCATTATTATTATACAGACACAAGCACATCAAGCTTCCCTAATACCGTTAATAGATTTTCAATTCTATTACAAGAGTTACAAAGCTAAAAATCCTTAGTAAGTATTATGATTGAAGATACATAATAGGTTTATGTATGTGTGTGAAAAAGATGGTTCATACATATTTACTTTAGAGGTCATTCGACCGATTGGTTTAGAGTATGAATGGTTTTTTTAACTGTTTATGTTATCAAGGCTTTTGATTATCTTAGCACGTGATGTGTACCAAGTTATACATTATGTTAAATGACATTTTACATTAAAATGTAAGTAACCTCATTATGGATCGGTGGTTCATTGGTTCCGGACTGCAGTGGTGGGAATAAAAATATTCAGTGTAAAGGTATTGGGTACGATTTTGTAGTTGAACCAAAGTATTTGTTTATGAATCTTGGTCTAAATAGGTATTGGGTTCGATTAGGTACAATGTCGAACAAAGTGTTATTAGATTTTTTTTAGTATGCAGTATACCTACGTATCTCTTACCCATTTAGAAGATCCAATAGTCAAACTATTTACATATAGTTTTGTTGGACATGGCGTTAGATTATAAGGCATACCATGTACCTTTATTATTAATAAATACCTCTAAATAAATAAATAATAAATTAACAATGGATCCATAAATAAAGTTGAAATTTTAATTTTACTGAACTTCTATGGAATGAAAGGTATCAATTTTTACGACCTTTAATATTACAAGGGCATTGAAAAAAAGGCGAACATAATGTCACTTACAATTAATGATTGAAGCACCAAAATGTCAGTGGGTTATTTATGTGCGCGTGTGTAATAGGTGATAGATGCCCTACGTGTCAAACTCAATGTGTGGAGGTAGCTATGTTCTGCGTGTAAGTCTATAGTAGCCAGGTGCAAATAGTACCTAACTAGGTATGTATGTAGGTACTTTGGATTTTTTACGTAATCTTTCGAATAAAAAAATATTTACAAGAGAACTACTTAACATTAGAAACTTAAGTGTCAGTTTTTTCCTCGATACATGTCCGTCTATCCATACTCCAGTCACGTACACGGTTCTAAATACATTACATATATCGTATATTTGACCTTCTTCAAAACTATTAATGATTGTACTTAGTATATGTTTGTGCGTCGGCTGTATAAAGGTCTAATTTTGAGACATACCTAACATAACATCACGCCTTTTATCCCCGAAGGGGTAGGTAGAGGTGCACATTATTTTTTTTATTTCTTTTTATTATTTATTTATTCTTACATTTCAGTACACTTTAAATTTTTTTATTTGCACCATTAAACCAGCTGGTTTGTATTGGTACTCACATTCGCTTAACAAGTTTTATGTTATAAATTTATAAACCCATTCAATACGACAATTACGTTAATATAATAAGTGACAAAGATATAACATTTTAGATACGTTAGATATTACGGCACTTAATGCCACTGTACAATGTAACACCTACATTTCACTATTTATGTTATGAGTCCCATGTAATAGGGGGTGAGACTATTGCCATATACCGGGCACGATTCCAGACTCCGTGCTACTATTGACATTTTTTTTAAAACCCAGTTGTACTTTACGCTGTGTATCTGTTTTGATGATAGGGGAAACTTTATTTATTTAAAACCAACACAATATTGCCTCGTTGGCCGAGTGGTAGCAAGTGCGACTGCCGGGCAAGGCGTCGCGGGTTCGATTCCTGGGTCGGGTAAAATATAACTAGGTTTTTAAAAAAAATCTCAGTGGTAGCATGGAGTCTGAAATTGTGCCCCGGTATGTGGTACAAGGCTTAGCCATTAATTAATGAGACTCATAACATAAATAGTGAAAAGTGGGTGTTGCATTGTACAGTAGCATTAAGTTCCGTAATGTGCACCTCTGCCTACGCCTACGGGGATAAAAGGCGTCATGGCACGCCAACACAATTTACTCACTAAATGCGATTATAAGTCTTATATACCTACTACATACATACATAACATCACGCCTTTTATCCTCAAAGGGGTAGGCAGAGGTGCACATTATACCACTGTACAATGTAACACCCACTTTTCACTATTTATGTTATGAGTCCCATGTAATAGGGGGTGAGCCTATTGCCATATACCGGGCACAGTTCCAGACTCCGTGCTACTACTGAGAATTTTTTTTTAAAACCCAGTAATACTTTGCCCGACCCGGGAATCGAACCCGAGACCCCTTGCTCGGCAGTCGCACTTGCGACCACTCGGCCAACGAGGCAGTCAAACAATATACCTACTACTAGATACTTTTTATAAAAGCAGAAGAATTTATTTCGTTAACGCGATTATCTCAGGAATCCGGTTCGAATTGAATAATAAGTCTTAGTCTTAGTCGTATCCATTTATCAAGGAAGACTATAGGCTATAAATCATCACGCTACGATTAACAGGTGTCTAGCAGAGCGGGTGAATCAAACCGCGCGGTAATAACCAGTATCACATAGTTTTCAAAATGCGCTTAGCTTTTTAGACTACAATTAAAGAGGTGTACTAAAACCTTTCTTATCTTTTAGGGAAAAGAGAATGTTTTCCATTTAGCTAAAACCTCCTTGGGGCCTCCATATCGTGACTTATAAGAGGACACCACGTCCAATAGACAAGTTTCGGAACCCTCATTATGAAAAACCAGATAAGTCTGATCCGTGAGGAGTATGCAAATGACTATTTATGGTAGAAAATCTGGTATATTATTTTTATATAAAATCTTAAATAAAAATAATTTCCCGTTCGTTAGTATTGCTAAAACTCGAGAACGGCTGGACCGATTTCACTAATTTTGATCTTAAAATATTTGTGTAAGTCCAGGGAAGGTTTAAAGACGAAAAAAACATTGTAGACAGTACGAAGTTTGCCGGGTCAACTAGTAGAACATAAATCACTATTTTTAAATATCTCACCTAGGCGTAAAACTCAAGAATCGCTAAGAATTTGGCTAATATTCTAATTAAATGTCAAGAACAACTAAAAAGCATAGGAGGTACCTACTTTACATTCAAGATCTTTTCCTGATCCACGACATAAAAAAAATATAAGCACTCAAACTTTAAGTCTATTGAAACAATAAAATTTCTATTTATCAAACACCACAAAACACCATAATTGCATAACGAAACCACATACCTTAACAGATTTCAAAAAAAAAACACATAAAAAAAACAAATAAAAAACACGAAACAAAAAAAAACACATACCCGTGATCACAACAGCATATTGCCTTATAATTGGATTAGAACATATCTTATTTAACATTTTTAAACACTTCGATCATCGGCTTTAAATTTAATACAGTCACCGTGTTTCTATTACGAAATTGACTAGCAAACTGCGCGTGCGGCGTGCACGGCAAACTTGTTATGTTCGAGAGGGGGAAATAAGGTACTCAACACTCGTCTCTTGACAGTTTCTATGCATCATTGGGAAATTAATTAAATGGTTTACCTATCGTGACTTTTTTCTAGTTTATGTTTTGCTCGCTTCTATCTGCTTTTCGCTTGTGGTCCCGTGGAATTAATAAAAAAAACGACTTCAAAAAACCCAAAACTACTTCGTGGTGTGAGTGAGGTTACTGGAGGCCCAATTAAACTATCCCTGAATCTCCAACAATCCTCAAATTCCTAATCCCGAATGGCCGGTAATGCACTTGTAACACCTCTGGTGTTCCAGGTGTTTATTGGCGACGCTGATTGCTTACCATTTGGTGATCCGTCTGCTCGTTTACCGAGTTATCCCATAATAAAGAAAAAACTAAAAAAGCATATATACGGTCGAATTGAGAACCTCCTCCTTTTTTTGAAGTCGGTTAAAAACAAACCAAAAGTAAAAACTAAAAAGCAAAGAGATTAGTACTGATAGGTTAACCACTCATTGATTGGTTAGAAGTCGGCACCATAGGTACGCGAATGAAGTTGGTAAAAATAGTCTGTCTTAAATTTCCAGATCATAATCTACACTTGTTTCATATTTCATCTCGTGTATAATTATCTACAATAAGGTAGAAATTAGGGAAAATATCTACCTCGGAATTTTACCAGGAATTTGTTAATTGTAAGACTGTTCGAACTAGAAACCGATCTCAAAATCCTCATTTGATAAGGCTGTATAACAGTTGATTATTTGTGAAGATCCGAAAACCAGCATTTAAACTTTTAAAGCAGAAAGAGGACGAACGGGAGTTCGCCTGTTCCCGTCCACTTACCAGGTCGCGACCTATGGAACACCCTTTTTAAAATTCCCCAAAATAAGAAAACTCACCATAATACTTACTAAATTAAAAAAAAAATTAAAATGCAGATATTCATAGAAAATAGTAAAATAGGTAAGAAGAAAACTACAACAAATTATAACAAAACATGAACAATACAACAAAAACAAAGAAAGTTAAAAGTACTATTAAAAAAAAAACGCTAAAGTAACTCCAATGTGGCCATGCCAAAAGGGCCTCCACCTCAGCATATGGTTGAGCGTACATGCTCAACGCTGATTTTCAGGTGGCACCCTGCAGTGACTCACAGACGGCGGCTGCGGTACCGCCACTCAATAGAAAAAAGCAATAAAAAGGAAAATGTGTAAATATAACTAATTCTGCATTTTTTACACAGTTTACGTTATTGTCACGTATTAAGTACCTGTCACATTCATGGCGATCCTTAAAATGGACGCGAATTACTGGATGGACGCGAACAGGCGTATTTTAGTAGGGTAGACATGAGCGAAAAAATCAACAAAATGATTGTTCATGATCTTTTTTAGGTTAGCTCAACAGATTCGTGAACACCATTGACCATGGTTTTTAGTTTAATGGCCATGGACTGATGGTAGTGATGGTCAATGTTAACAATGAGTTCTGTAGGTTACGACTACATAATAAGCTATGATAACCAGTATAAGCTGACCGTTAAACGTGCGGAAAGACCATATGAAGAGAGATCATGGTTAAATTGGATTACCTACATAAAGTTATTATAACCAGTATAACCTGACCGTCGAATGTAAGGAAAGGTCATATAAAGCGAGATCTTGATAAATTGGTATTGTATAGCTGAATCTGCTTTAAACAATTTGACTAAAAGCAAACTGAATAAATAAGTAATTATAATCAAAGGTTTGGAATTCGCACATTCCGACGAATGTGTAATTTTGAAATAATTTAGAATTGTACCTAATTCAATTGAATTGACTGTTTGTGTGTCCATTATTCTTAAACTAGCTTTTACCTGCGGCTTCGCTCGCGTCGCAAAAGGACAAAAGTAGCCTATGTGACATATACCAATACATACAGCGCCATCTATACCAATACTTTTGTTTTCCTTCGGGAATATCAATTTTTCCGGGATAAAAGGTACCCTATTATTTAATCTGGACTCCTAACTTTACGTCCGCAAAAATTCAAAGCAATCGGTTTAGTAGTTACGGCGTGAAAGTGGAACTAACAAACAAACTCACTTTCCGATTTATAATATTAGTAAGGACGACTGCACCAAAAACGATGAATATTTTTGTCTTCTTTTACGTGATGTTTACCGTTGTCTTTTTTTTGAGGGGGGGGAAATCATCCAATGACTTCTTCCATCTTGAGTGAGGCGAGAGAGGGTGTCAGACCTTACTGACTAAAAACCACCCCGTTCCTACTCCTACACTATGGGCGCTAGTGTTCTTTTTTATTTATTTATTTTAAAAACGTATGTCCTGGATTTTGAAATTATCACAATGATGAAAGGAATCTGTATACATACATACATATGTTCACGCCTGTCTCCCATGGTAGGCATAGAAAATGGAACGGCACGGCTCTTACATACCTCTTTCGCTTCCTCAACAGTCATCAGTCTTTTCATGCATGATCGTCGGTTAAGGGTGCTTTTAATTTGGCCCTTGTTTAATATACCTATCGTCAATCTGGGGCTTACTCTTGAATCCAATTCCGATCGATCGACATTCGTATTGTGAAATTTCGTACTCTTAAGTTTGACTACACGGTTGGTGCGGTGGCTGGGCAACCGGCTGCCGTGTAACGTGTCGCGGGTTCGATTCCCGGGGTCAACACTTTGTGTGATCCACAAATTCCCCAGTTTGATAAGGTCATCAATTATTTATGACCACTTGAAAACCAGCATTTTAACATTTATGTAAAGCAGAACATTTATGTAAAAAAAACTGCGTTTAAAAAAACCGACTTCAAAAACAAATGACAAACAAAAAGTAAAAACTAAAAAGGAAAAAAAAAACTATTAGTGGTCATACGTACTTATAGCTTACACACCCACTGATAGGTTAGAAGTCGGTGCCACAAGTTTTAAACAAAATTATTCATTAAAACCTTAATAGATACCTAACATTATTGAGCTGTTTACAATTTTATTATGGATTATACCAGCTGTGACTTTTGTCTACTTTATATTTTATTGTGGGTTTGTGGCACCGACTTCTAACCTATCAGTGGGTGTGTAAGCTATAAGTACGTATGACCACTAATAGTTTTTTTTTTCCTTTTTAGTTTTTACTTTTTGTTTGTCATTTGTTTTTGAAGTCGGTTTTTTTAAACGCAGTTTTTTAATTTTATTTTATACTTTTTAGTTTAGTACTTTGATATATATTTTGATATATATATTTATACAAAACCCACATGGATGCAAAGTTTTCATCAATACGAATTATGCAAGTTCAAACACCAGGTGGGTACTCTTAACCATTGAGGAGTCCCTTAGCTATCATACTACTTCGTCATTGGACCTTTAATGACCATCACCCCCCCCCCCCATCTAGGTGTAAAGTCCTCATCAATACAAATTAATCAAACCTAAACACAAAATAGCTGCTGTTAACCGTTATTGAGTTCCCTCAACTATCGTACTACTTCATCATCAGACCCTTATTGATAATTACACCCCACTCAGGTGTAAAGTTCTCATCAATACAAATTAATCAAACCCAAACACAAGGTAGCTACTGTTAACCGTTGAGGAGTTCCCTCAACTATCGTACTACTTCATCATCAGACCCTTATTGACAATTACACCCCACTCAGGTGTAAAGTCCTCATGAATACAAATTAATCAAACCCAAACACAAGGTAGCTAGTGTTAACCTTTGAGGAGTTCCCTCAACTATCGTACTACTTCATCATCAGACCCTTATTGTTAATTACACCCCACACAGGTGTAAAGTCCTCATTAATACAAATTAATCAAACCCAAACACAAGGTAGCTACTGTTAGGTAACCGTTGAGGAGTTCCTTCGACTATTGTACTACTTCATCATCAGACCCTTATTGACAATTACATCCCACACAGGTGTAAAGTCCTCATCAATACAAATTAATCAAACCCAAACACAAGGTAGCTACTGTTAACCGTTGAGGAGTTCCCTCAACTGGCTCTCGGCTCCATCATCAGATCGGCTCCAGACCTTTATCAGATTGTAGTGGTTTTTAATACTTAATGAAAAAATTAACAAATGCCCTAGTTACCCCTATAATTTTTAAAAGTTCCCCTCGGTTTCCCTGGTCTTCCATCATCAGATCCTGATTTCCTTATCATGGGACCATTCTGGAACTATCTCCTTTCTAACAAAAAAAGAATTTTTAAAATCGGTTTATAAACAACGGAGATATCGGCGAACAAACATAAAAAAAAAAAAAAAGCATATATACGGTCGAATTGAGAACCTCCTCCTCCTTTTTTTGAAGTCGGTTAAAAAGTCAACACTTTGTGTGATCCACAAATTGTTGCTTCGGGTCTGGGTGTCATTGTGTACGTGAACTTGGATGTTTGTAAACGCACCCACGTTTTTAAAATAAATAAATAAAAAAAACACTAGCGCCCATAGTGTAAGAGTAGGAACGGGGTGGTTTTAGTCAGTAAGCGCCCATTGCATCCGTATTGCGTGGATATTGAAGGAACCAAATGAGTTTGGCTTTATATTTAGTACTTTGAATGCTATTTCAACAGCTACGATAGGGGTTGTATAGTTTTGACATTGAATAATTATTGAGATTTTACTGGATTGAAATGGCATTGACATTGAGATTGGTTTCAAGAGTACGCACCCTGGTCGATATAAATATGTCTTTCTAGGGTGCCCTCTACCGACGGTCCCATTCCTATCCGCTTTGTATACTTCTTTCGTAAATCTACTTTCATCCATCTTTTCTATATGAACTTCTTTTTGTGTCTTCTTGCATTGTTGTCTGCGTGTGCGTCGCGACGTAATAAACGCATCTTCTGTCTCTTTCTTGACATGTCCAAAGGAA